AAACCAACAAGAAAAATTGCCGAGATTGTCCCTTTCATGGTACGTAAATCAATCTTCTTCTCTTCTCGAGTCTTACTTCTGTCCAGAAGCTTTTATGGGTAACCAATCTTTTGTGGTTTATGTAAGGCGAAGAGGATTAACGACGTCTTATAAAGTTTTAGAACACTGCCTCCCACTGTGGCTATAATAACAAAATATACCGGAAGATTTGGGAACAATGAACTACGGAATCAGTTAATATATCCCCTTTGTCGTCTCTGTTAAAGGAACAAAACAAGGCAGAGAAACTGTTAGAAACGCATTAGCTCTAGAATGAATAACAAAGAGTCGCGTGGTTTGCGTGATAATAGCTCTTTTGAAGATTCTTCGAATGAGCACCTTTGATAAATGATGTGCTTGATCGAGAGTCAGATAAAGTAATTTTCGACTAAAGTTCAAGCTGGTACGTTTATCTTAATTCGTTTTTTTCAATTCATATCGATGACGACTGCTATATTTTGTGCATCCAAAATTATTGTGTAGGATGAACAATTAATGATATTACAGAAGTTGAAAGAAAAAGCGATAAAAACAGATGGAGGATGAAAAACAAAAACACTTATTGAATATGTCCATGATACAGGCTGCGCAAATAAGGAACTTTGAAATTAATTAAGGTAGCGTCCTTTTTTTTCTCGGTGCCACGCGCCTTCAAGCTCATTTTCCTGGTGCCACGCGCCTTCTAAATGCCTTTTTACTTTATTTGAATACCGTATAAGGGAAAGTGTTGTCGAAGTTTAGTTAATAAAATATATATATTTTTTTGTATTAATATAAGGCGTTGAGAAAGGGTCAACTTAATTTTTAAAAGCATTAAAAACAAGCAAGAAAAAGATAGAGAAATAAGGACCCATGATTAATGGGAAAGAGGGGTAAAATCTCTAGATTAGAAAGGGACTGAGTTGCTTGATACAGTCAACTCTCGGCTTGGAGATATATAACCACCATTCATTTTTAATCGTATTTGTCGTTTTTATTTAGGACTTGTGTCCGTTTTCGCTCAAATGCATGCACACGTTTCCAATAAAGAAATTCCTGTACTCCGCTCAGTATTTTGTCGCGTCTTGGATTCCCCCTGGCATGGACACTTTGTTTCGCAACTATACAGTGATTATAAGGACTAACGTAACAGATCTCTTTTAGAGATAAATCGAATTATTCTCTGAAACAAATGAACAAAACCAACAGTGCGCCGTGAGGCAAAGCTCGAAGTGATGGATGATCAAATTCGGATTCTTATAACAGTACCGTAAAATTACTAGAAAATTTCAAGTGCTTTCAGTGTGTAAATTTCCAAATTCTTCGTTTCTAGGCCTTGAAGTTGCACAATACGCTTATTTTCTGCAATTGACGTTTATATGGGTGATTTCGATCATTAATGATTAAGCGGATATCAAAGAAGCCTGCTTTTAACCCGCACTCACTAAATATGGCCGCCAATTTCGGCAGTTGGCCTTAAATTAATATCGCTTTATCTTTTATCAATTCCCTTAAATCCAGGTCGAAAGAAACAGGAAATTCACTAATTATAACGAAAAATTCTGCACAAACAGATATCCCTAGGCCGGAAAAAACATCTAACTAAATTAACATTTTCTGCAACATAAATTGTGACAAAAGCCTTGCCAATTTTTTGCTCATCTGTAGTAAATTGTTATGTGTCCGGTGTGGCCCTTTTCATCAGTAAAGAAAACCAAAAAGGAGAAAAAGAAAAGAAAATAATAAGATGATTTACAATTCTAGATAAAGAAAATATATTTGATAGACTATGGAAAATTTTCACTCACGTGGTCAGCATCCATGTCCATGCTGATGTATTGGAACAAAAGAAAACCTTTAAACAAGAAAAGAGTTCTTGGTACACCAACATAAACTCCGTTTCATTGTTTTGGAACACCAATATGGCTGCCGTGACGTCATGTGAAAGCGCTCTGTGAGAATAGACCTCTTTAGCTTACCCAATGGAGGTCCCGGGGGAATTTGACCTTTTGTTGTACATTTGCAAGTGCGTGCATATGCTAACATATGCACGTAAATAAGACGAAATTTGAAAGAAACAGTCCTCTAAAGTATTATCACATGACCTATATTGGGAAAACATAATATACAAGCTAAAGAGATCTATAGCGCAAATATCTAACACATTATGACTGGATGAGAATAATAAGTTATATTATCACGAGTTCGTTTCCCGCATTTCAACAACAACGGCAAAACTTCTAAGATTTTCTGATCAAAAGATAATAACATTTTTTCTCATGTATTTCATCAATCCAGTGCAAGTTGTCCGTTAAAACGTATGGACAAAAAGCAAAAAGAACAAGACCAGAGAAGGGAATAAAAATAGGGTTTTCGTTTTCTGTGAAGCTATTACTGAACTTATTTTTACACCACATCAGAGAGGAAAGAAAGCAACATTACTGTAGGTTCCTACAAGTTTGGATACATTTTTTGTCTTTTTTTTTCTTGGTGAGTTACAGAGCTTTTTGGTCAAAGCTGAGCTGAAATCATCACATTGGTCAAGTATTCTTATTCATCTTTTCTCGTACTTGAAACTTTAAAAGAGAGATATCCGTGAAACTATCAAAATGAAAACAAATCATGATCGATTTTTGGACATTTTTGGACAGCAAAGGGTGGATTTTAACTTGAAAAAGTTTGCTCAACGAAATAAACCACGCTATTCGGAGATAACTTTTATCGAATAGGAGGCTGGGTAGTTTGCATGCTGTTTTTCAAAAGAAACTGGCTGTTAAAAAAAGCCAGACATTAAGAGTAGGCAGAGTTGGGCCCAACTAGGCTCCGGCCAGATGTGATCATGATCTTAACAGGAGCTATCGCGAATTGATGAATAGTGAGCCATGTAACGTACACCTGTAAGATATTGCTAAGTCAAGAGTTAACAGTTTTAGTTGTAAGTCTGAATTAGGAGCCTTTGACGTTTGATAAGCCAATCAGTTTTGTGAAAGTGCAAAACAAAAGTTATTTCAGTTTCCTATGCATGAAGCATCCCTTTCTCGAAACTACCCTACGAACAGAGGTTTCTCGCTGGCATGGCTTTTAGCTTTTACGAAGTTGTTCGCGTGGCTTTTCTGTCACATTGGGTAAACGAACCAACAACGTGACAGAAAAGCCACACGAACGACTTCGTAAACGATAAAAGCCTTGCAAGCGAGAAACCTCTGCTCGTAAGGTATCTCTAAACGTGTTGTAAAGCATCATAACACTGAACTGTCCTTATGAACAAGCGGCTAATCTAATGCAACTTTGTTCCCAGGGTTCTTGTCAAGTCACTTTTATTTCAGTAAACTGTGAAAAAAGTGGTTAACAAATCAGACACGATGTCAGAAAAACAAGGATAAGTACAAGAGGACCCAAGCAACGAAGTTAAAATTGATGCTGGCTTTTCAATAACACGAGAAAGACGACCAACGCCGAGAAAAAAATAATTTAACCTGATATGCCCCAATATTCAAATACAATCTCTGACACACTTCCTTAAAGAATTGGTCAAGACTAGCCTGGGACCAGGCTCCGCAGTGGGGGAAAAAAAGGCTAAAAAGGAAGGGGTCAAATAGGAAAAATATCGGCGGGCAAAGCGAGCCGAGCAGTATCCTGGTGAGGGGGGAAGGGCGACCACCCTTTCCCCTCCCCAGATTACCTCTTGGTTCGCTTCGCTCGTCGATTTTGTTTTTTTCGCCAACGCCGACTTTTTCTCCTTTTTCCCACAATGCGGAGCCTGGTCCCAGGCTAGGTTAAGAGGGATTTGTTTTTAGATAAAAGCTTTTCCCATCACCGATCATTGTATTAAGTCTCACAACATTTTATCTTGATAAATCTCTTGATAATGTGTTGTATTGTTAGGAGAAAATTTACAGTGAAACCTGTATTAAGCGGACACCCTCTATTAAGAGGACAGTAGCCGAGGTCCACAAATTTATTTCCCTTATTTTCTTTAAATGAGACCTTTATTAAGTAGAGACCTCTATTAAGCGGACGTGGACACATAAAAAGTACCTGAAATGGTCATTTCTATTGTTGCCAACCTGTATTAAATGGACGCTTGTAAGTAAATTCCACCACCCTACATGCTGGACACCGGAAATGCAAAAAATTGCCTCGAATAGCCACCCACAAATTTTTCGATTTCTTTAAAAAACGTGACTTGAGGAACTTACTTGATTAGTTTCTTAGTACTGCAGTATCGTTTTTTATTTCGTTTTGTTTGTATAGAGCTTGTTTAACTCATCTGATTTCTTCAAATTTGAGTTGCAATCTACGTTTATGGTACTATGATCAATTAGTCCACTTTGATAAAGAAATTAATGCAATTGTATATCGTCATAGTCTCTGGGAGTATTCTAAACGTTTCCAGTGTTCATTTGAATGGCATTTGACACCTCATATGACATTATCTATCGAAACCTGTGTCAGGCGGACACTCTGTATTTAGCGGACACTACAGAATTTCCCGCGGGTGTCCGCTTAATACAGGTTTCACTGTACTTTGATCACTCATATTATCATAATACTGGAGATCCCTTTGTTTTTCTTTTCTTTTTTTTTTTTTACCATTTCAGGGTTTTTTTGTTCCACTTTTTGAAATACATGAACCAGGGAAGTGCGTCTACAATCGCGGTTATGAGTCCTACTAAATCTTGTATTTTAAAGACAAACTTTTGCTGCGATAAGCGGCGTCATTACGGAAGATTTTTCAGCCTTCGTTGGTGTTCTGAGGTCGGTCCATAAATCTTAATACAGGCCGTTATCTCTGTCTGTTTACGGAATCTAAATTCCAGTGTTGTGTATTCCAGAGTCCAATGAATTTTTCTTATATTTTCGCTGGGGACGTGGACGACAGAGATTGGGTCTTAGGGAGACTGGTTACCAAGCAGCGCCTGTAACAGCGCCATTTTCTCCGACACCTTCATTTCGTGACCTCGATCTTGAAAATTCCCAATCAATTTCGTCGCCAAACTGAACCGTGAGAAACGCGATGAGTTCTTTTACTAACGACCAAGTGATCAACCTACTGGTTTTGGCTGCTTTGTGCGCTTCTGCCATTCTGACAGCGTTTCTAATAACCTTGATTGTAGTAGTGTTCTGCCTTCGTTGGTATGTCCGTAGACGATCCAAGGACGCGCTACCACATCTACGCGCTGTTCCTAAAAAAGGACAAGACATTCGGCCAGTTGTGGTGGGATTTTTTCACCCTTATTGCAACGCGGGAGGTGGCGGAGAGAGAGTGTTATGGACTGGAATTCGTGCGTTACAAACTCGTTACAACTTTGTCCGTTGTGTTATTTACACAGGCGATCCGTACGTAAGCGGAGAGGAAATACTTCGAAAGGCTAGACAACGGTTTAACATTTCTCTTCCTCAGCCTGTCGAGTTTGTATTTTTAAAAAGAAGACGCTGGGTGGAGGCAAGCATGTATCCTTACTTTACCCTTCTGGGGCAGAGTATTGGATCACTAGTTCTTGGCTGGGAGGCTCTGAACTGCTATTTGCCAGACATTTTCGTGGACACAATGGGGTATGCATTCACTCTACCGCTGTTTCGTTATCTTGGTGGCTGCCAAGTTGGCTGCTACGTTCACTATCCAACCATCAGCACTGATATGTTGTCTCGGGTTGGAGGCAAAACAGCTTCTTACAACAATGCTTCTTTCATTAGCAACAGTCGCATTCTAAGCACAGTCAAGTTGTTCTATTATTACTTATTTGCTCTGATGTATGGTCTAGTTGGGTCTTGCTCTCAAGTCGTCATGGTGAATTCAACTTGGACTTATGGCCACATACTCTCCCTTTGGAGGAAGAAAGAACAAACATCAATAGTTTATCCGCCATGTGACACAAAGGCATTTATGGAAATACCAATTAAATTAGGAAGAGTTGCTGGTAATGATGATGATGATGATGATGATAATGTTTATTCAATAGTGTCTGTAGGACAATTTAGACCAGAGAAAGATCATCCACTCCAACTTCGATCCTTTCACGAGTTCCTAAAACACAAAATGCTCAAAGACAGGCACAAGTATAAACTTGTCCTAGTTGGTAGCTGCCGAAATCAAGAAGACTCTGATAGAGTGACGGCACTCAAGGAACTAGCAACCCAGCTTGAAATCCAAAGCTATGTTGAGTTTGCTTTGAATGTTTCTTTTGAGAAACTAAAGCAGTATCTCGCAGAAGCCTCCATTGGTCTTCACTCCATGTGGAATGAGCATTTTGGCATTGGCATTGTGGAGTGCATGGCAAGTGGATCTATAATCTTGGCACATGATTCAGGGGGACCAAAAATGGATATCGTCATTGAATGGGAGGGAAAACCAACTGGATTTCTCGCCAGTGATGAGAAAAGCTATGCTGATGCTATGGAGACAATCTTTTCTCTCTCTCCGGAAGAGAGAAGTGTTATTTGTCACAATGCAAGGCATAGCATTAGCAGATTTTCTGAAAAGGCTTTTGAAAATGGATTTCTTCAATGCACTGAGCCATTGTTCATGAATGTCTAGGGACTTAGTGGAAATTAGCCCTAACAATGTCAACTTCTGATAATGCTAGATTCTCCTCTATAATTGCCTTTTGCTAGTGGAGAAAAATGTGAATTTGAATAAGATCTAGATTCCAGGCTTGAAGTAAGTAGCAAAAGTATATGTACGTGTAGCTAGAATTTTGACATTATTTTCTTGTGTTGTCAATGTACAATAACTGTGTTTCTACCTGTACATACAGTTTTCATGACCTATTATCTTCTAGAGCCAGGCAAGGTCTTATTACCTCACTTGGATGGAGTCATAGTTGTAACTGGAGTTGTAAGAGTGCTTATGACCCAGTATAAATCCAAAATGGGAGTCATACATATGTAAGCTTGATAGAATTGGATTTGTACAGTTGGTCATAAGCAACAGATCATATTAGCAGAAACCTGTTTAAATTACTAGATCGTAATGCTCTACACAGTCTAAGGGCTGTCATTAAAAGGCGGGGGCTGGGGATTTCCCCTGGCTACTACAATAATTATTATGAACGTGGCCCATGGCTACTTTCAAGGAAAATAGAAGAAAAATAGAGCCAAAAGAAACCCCTAGCCGTTTGATTCCCTGCCTATACTTGTTGCATTTACCCCGCAACTTGAAATCTTAGTGACAACCGTGCAGTATTCTGGACACAACTCTGATTCCATCTCCTTGGCCTGTGAAATCCAGCCTCTAAAACATGCTGAAAATCTCACCATTGAGGTCAATCAATGCCTACATGTAACACTTTTTTCACAGAGCTCTCTGATTGAGGCGGCATGTATAGTGTAATGCTGCAAGTGACTCTTTGTCTAGATCATTTTGAGGGAAAATATAGAAGCTAAGTGGGTCAAAAGTCACCTGGGGATTCTTCCCATGTACATGTACCTCCTTACTTGTTGGACAAAGGTTTTGCAAAGGTATTTCAAAAGAGTAAAATAATATAACATAATTTATATGATTTGGTATTAGAGGTCAGGGTGTGTATATGGGTAAATGCAGTAACTTTGATCTCAGCTATGCGTAACATACACCCCACTGGCCTATTGTACACATTGAAGTCATAGACAACCTTGTACCTAGAGTCTTCTGGGTTTTTGGTCAGCGGGGCAACACCAGGGAAGACTCTGGAACAATAAAATTTTCATCACCAGAAAACATGGTAAACAGTCTTAGTGCACATACATCAGTGCAAAACGGAAGTGATTCTCTCAGTTGTACACATGATCAAAGGGTCAGGAACAAATTTATGCTCATTGGTTTCCAGCAAGAGCAAGTGATGAAATGGAGTGTCTAAGGGCCCTTTGCTTGAAAACATAGTTTTTCTCTGATTTTCTGCATGCTCTGATTGGTTGGATCTCATGGTTCACTGAGTTCCTATCATGCCTCCACTGTGTCAACTGCTGACTACATTGTAAGGCAGTAGTTTAAAATAATGCAGTATCAACTTACAGCAGGTTAACAAACTTGGGTTAGAAACGAGTTAGGGCTCACAGAAGGTTAGTTTAAGCTTGCGTTCAAACAGACATGCCGGCGTAAAGTGAGTAGAATTAAAAGATACTTCCAACCATATTTTTTCTCAGAAATTGCTTACTTGGGGATAGATAATCAATGGCTGTTGTATGTAGCTAGCTTTTAGTACAGGTTAAACTGTAAGTAAAGAAATACAGTTATGTCAAGCAGTTTTTTGTACTGTTGGTTATAATGGGAAAGAATAGAGTCCAGTTACATATAGGTGTGTTATCTTGGATTGACAATAGTAAAACAGAATCAAAAGAATGAGCATAATTATACTGGGGGTCCAGTTTGTTGTAAACAGCATGGAAAATATATGACCACAGATGGTTAAGGAGACAATACACATTTTTGTCGTAGGTACATGTAGTCAACTTCCAAAGTAGTCTCCTTCAAAAGAAGACTCCTGGGTTCAAACCTTTCACAGGTGTAATCAATTTGTCATCATTAAAACAAAATTTGACGGAAAACAGTACTGTAATAGTGTTTAATGAAATGTTTAATTTTCAAATTAACTTTAAAAGTGCAACATTTAATTTTTTTTAATCATAGTTACCAGAATCAGTAGGATATAGAAGCAAAATAAAGCATTTAAATCTCATTTTTTTATTTCATTTGCTAACAGTTACCAATAAAATCGAGCCAAAGGTCTCCACTTTTTCTCCCCACTAATATTAGGCCACTGAACGTAACTACATTGTACTTTTTTCACCATTTCTCAATGACAAGTTTCAACACAAATTATTATAAGTCTAACTAAAAGAATTAACTTAATATGTCTTTGTAACATAATTATTGTATTCCTGAAAATCTGTCTGGATTTTTGAAAACGTACTTACAAAAAATTGCAGCCACTAGACTGTATAGACATCACACCTCAGAAGAAAACAAAGAGCAATAATAAAGAGAAGGAGGACAGAGAAGGAGATGGTTGCCCTCTAAGATTATTATATATTGGCCGCTTCTTGAACAAGAAAACTGCTTGACTAAAGTGGTCTTCTTTGGCAAAAATGTTTTCAAATATCCAGCTACACTGTAATATGCATCTGTTCTTGTACTGAATAGACCATGCCTTAAGCCATCAGCTAACATAACAATAATAATTTATTCTAGGCCTTCAGACGTCAAATTTTTAAATACCCGTAACGGTTTTTCAAATAATCTCTTCTGGAGTTTGATGCAATTACAGATGGAATATCAGTATTGACCAGAGTACTCTGAGTACTGCCAGTGTTGTAAAAAAACAATTAATAGTAGCGATGATACTGGAACATGTATGCCCTAGAGAAACTTTTAAAGGTCCAATAATCAAAAGCATGTTAACTTTAAAAGTGCCATGTACATGTAACTCCAAAATAATGACAGAAATAGATCATAAATAGATTCACATAAAATTTAATACATTAACTTTTCCATTAAATTAATACAACTATAAATGTCTTTAATTGTTTTTATGTAGTATTGACTTTGGCTTCTGTATACAATGCCAGGTATGAACAATAATTCTTATATTCTTAAACCACTTCCCATGCAAACTTTTCTCTATCTGTTGAAATAAAAAAAGAATAGAAAACATAAAATTATTACTAACAAACTTCAGTTTATTGCCCCTCCAATGTGCCAGCCTGTGAGAGAGCCCTGCTTACATGGAAGGAACTGCCTGGGTAATTACTGTTCTTTTTTTTTTTACACGTACATAAGAGAAAGTAAAATCTTTAGAAACCTCAGCCTGTCTTTTTGCCAGGAAAAGCCTTCTAGAATAGTCGTTTTTCCCACATAAATACTAGGGAGTTTAAGATGTCAAGAAGGTGACAATAGCGATATATAGCAAAACAAAAACTCCGCAAATGCAGCCTACTGCATAAATTATTATTTCAAATGGTCACGTGACATATCAAGTGACTCACTTGTACCAACATATTATTAATAATAGTATAAATTATTTATACTTAAACATGTTAGGGACAATGAGTTCTTTAGATGTACCAAATTTTAAATCTTAATTTTTTAGCCAATAAATCGTTTTCAAAGGTAAACTCCTCAGACCCACACCCAACTCTCCCATGAGCAGCAGCTCAGGTTGCAGATTCCATTAAGGCTAGAAGAACTGTTCAAATTTACCCCTAGAGAATTCAATATTCAGTAATTTGCAAACTTTAACCACAATCCTAAAAATTTTTCACAAATTTTTCCAGGAAGTTTGAGTCTTTTGAGAAACTGTCTATGCAGCTCTAATCCTCCCCCTAGTCTACATGGCATGAATTCCCTAGACATGTACCTTAAAATATTATCACACTTGAACCTCCGATATAAAAAGTGGCCACCCTTCGCATGACAGCAAGTTGCTGCATAATATGGAGGTTGGCTACTAAATAGAGGTTACTTTGTAAACTATGGCGAAAACTTGATGATTATGGGAAAAGGCAGCCATGTCAGTCTGTAACTGATGAAACATTACATAATTACACATACACAATCACTCATCACCTATCTCTGTCTGTAATTTTCAAAACAAACCCAAATTAAGTGAATCAAAAATTTGGTGGACACTTAATTGAGGTGACAATAATAGGAAAACTCTCATCAGGATGGCCATAATTTTATTAAAGGTGGGCATGGCTCCTTGATAGAGGTGGTCACCCAATGGAAGTTTCACTTCTTCATAATTATTGTATTCCATCATAATTGCAACTACTTTGGAGCTTTGATTACTTGCTGCTTAAAAGAGGATGGCCAATTGCAGTGTAATGAAGGTTAAACTGTAAACTTTCTCGAACCCTTTTACTGAGAGGAACAATATTATATTGTGAGAGCGTCATGTACTACACTGGAATTGATCATTGTTTAACTCACCACAGTTGGACAAGTATTCAGCAACTTTGGGTTGGTTGTTTGCTTTAGCCATGACCATTGCTGTGTTTCCTTTCTTTGATTTCATTCTGAAGTCTGCCCCTTGCAAGACCAAATACTTTACACAAGTCAGGTGACCATTTCTTGCTGCAACATGCAACGGTGTGCATCCAGAGATGTCAGCAAGTTCCACATCACCACCATGTTGAATAAGAAGCTTCAGCACATCCAGGTGGCCATTGGCAGCTGCCTTGTGTACTGCTGTGGAACCAGCCTCATCAAACTCTTTTGCACTCTTAAATACAATCAGGAATATGCAATATCAGAAGCCCTTCTGGCGGAGTTGACTCTTGGGGGAATGACCATGGGGAACCCCATGGCATTTGCACAATGACATTTACAAATACCCCCACCAAAGTACAAAATTTCTGCACCAAAAGCTACCATCAGCCCTTATACCCCTGGGGCAACAGTTGAATCATAATTATAGCAAATTAGTAAATAACGTGCACCTAATATGTACTGCACATGATGGAGTTCAAGATACTTTTTTAAGTCGTGGAATTGGAAAAAAGCATAGACTTAATAACAACAAGAAAAATGAGTACCATTTTTAAGGTCAGGGCTGTATAGTAACTTACACCATTATGAAAACAAGTAAGCAAGTTAACCTTTTGAAACAAGAAATGATTGGCATTAATTTAAACTGCTGATATTATTTTCCACAACGCATCCGTCCCCTAACTCCTCTCCTCCCAAAAATATAGCATAACAGTAACACCTGACTAATTGGATCTAACCGGAAATTCCAAAAATGACATGTACTGTCATTCTACGCTTATAAAACATGACATGGTCAACTTTTATACAGTACTTTTCTGTTTCTAAAAACTCATAAAGCAAAGTAAGTTAAGTTTTGCCTTGTCTGATATATTGCATTAAAAGCCACTCTTACTACTAGGTGAAAATTTATTTTTTTATTTGATATGGCATTAACTGCAACAATCATATCCAGCCCTTCCTGTAGTGAATGACTTTTCACACGTAGAGAGAAAATTGGTAATAATAAATTATACATTGTAAAGGGAGAAATTGGCTGTCACAGTTTACCGAGAGAGAACACCTATTAATCACTGTTTAAACTTACATGTTTAAAATTTGTCTGGGGCTTATGCCCCAAATGTAAATGTAAGAGTATGTGTCCATTATGTCTAAATTTGGAGGGCTGGATGACACCTACTCACACAAGACTTTATCCAGTCACCCCCCGGGATGGAAATTTGCAACACAAAAAAAAGCAATATAAAAAAAGAAGCACACTGCAGAACTTAAGTCAGCGATGGCACCAGGGATCCATATTCACAGTCATCTGGTCGTTCCAGACGACTACAACTGATCTCACACAGACGATTAAGATACCTCCAAAAGGCATCCTTTGGACAAGTAAGGTTTTGCTCAACTACAAAATCTATTCAAAAATTCTTGCATGATTTTATCATGTACATTATGCATGTGTCCTAAAAGTTCTTCATAGGATTTAAAACTTGCTCCGCTTGCTTAGAAACTCGTGAGGTTGACTTGTGGCAAATCTAGGGCCATTCACAGAAAAAGTGACAGCATTCATCTTGAAGATGTGACATTTTAGTAGGTGTTTTGTCGCCTCCTATAAAATAAAAGCCGCTGCCTTATACAAGGAAAAACGTAAGTACACCATCTTGTCTTCAAGGCAAACTGACAGACCTTGGCTTGTTTTTGTGCCCTAACAAAATGCATCCCAGCCATCTGCCGAAGTCATGGAGCCCATTTTTCAGTTCAGTTAAAACCCTTTGTTAGTAGCTATGATAGTAATAAAATGCAAATCAGAAACATTCAGGTTGCACTCAATTTTATCACCATTCCTTCTGCAACTCTGCACTCTTGTCTGGGCAATGCTAAGTGTAAGTGTAACCTGCTGACGACTCTGGTATAATATTAATATGGATCCCTGTGGCCCTGTGGGCCAGCATCGACTAATAACAGTATACTTGGCTATTTAAGAAGAGTAAGAATGTATCAGTCAAAGAATCTCCTGGGGAGGACCCTGGAAACATAAGGTTGTCAAAAACTTAATGCAATGATTAATGGTCCGTGTAAGAGGTAGGCAGGCGAACGGCAAAAGTGATTAAAAGGTGCTAACTTTTAATCATTAATTTCAATTAAATCAAGCGTTCTGATTGGCCGAAATCCATAAATTGCCAAAAAAACAGTCAGAAACATGACAAAAACAACTTTTTTTAGCTTTATTTTCCCCATTCCCCTGTCTTATACCTCACGGCCAAGTTTCAGCATTGTTCTATGCGCCAATCAAAAGTTAGAGTGGAAAACGTGCAACACACACGCGACCTTGTTGTGACCTCATCTTAGTGTGACACTCGAGATGTTAGGAAATTTGTCTTTTACCTAATCTCGTCAATTTCTTCGTGAAAAATCTGCATTTTTTCTTTATTGAATATTTATCTCAAATTTACTGTATTTTATCATTGGAGTGATCGTCAAAATGCTCTTAAACATGGTTTGCTGCCGTCCTCGACATGCCGAGTCGCCATGTGGAAATTTGGGCCCGGCGTAGTTGTTTTCGTTGTCAGGCCGGATCAGGAGGAGATCGGAATAAATATAATTATTCCGATCTCCTCTAGTGCCACAATTATTGTGGCACTAGAAATTGGAGAACAGCTGGGCATAAAAGGAGAAAGCGAAAGATTTGTTGTTTTTACAAGGATGAATTTATTTCTCGCAGAGATGTAGAACACTTGAGCTTGAGGTAAGCTGAATTCAATAGATTTTCGCACCTCCGCGCACATTATGTGTTATTCATATGTTTGCCCTTTTCGAAACTTCCATATTCCGTGTAGCTTTACCCATCTCTCATTCGATTTTTTTTTCTCTCTAGACTGCTTCATCAAGCGAAATGAAAGTTCGCCGTGGACCTTAAGTTAAAATGAGCGAATTGAAATTTGTGACACATTTGCATTTTGTACCTTTGAGTTCTGAGACGGAGAATACTGAGACGGAAGCCGCTTAGGTATCATAAATAGCTGTCACTGGTGTTTGACTTTCTCTTGGTACGGAAGATCTAACGAGCACTAAAAAAAACTGTAGCTTGCCTTTATTTTTTCCAAGGACGAAAGAGATTGTAAGAAGGATTTTTATAGAGTAATATCAAAACCTTGAAAACAGATAAACTGTAGGAGAGCTTTTTCTGAAACCCAATTATCCGAACATGCAGGAATTTTTTCTATCTGGGCAACATCATCTTTTTTTCCAAAAGCAGAACATTTAGATAACATTTAGATTTGATTTTGTGTACGTGTTGTTGTTCTGTATGGTGGCCAAATATGAACGCGGGACATTGGCGCGTTCGCCAGATTCGCCACGTGAGAGTGAATTGCTGCTGTTTACGATCATGGTTTTGACATTTCTTTTGTGAGAGCTGACGTAAATGTTGTTCCCAACGTCACTGATTGATGTAACACTGTGCTCATCTTCGTGTAATTTCATATCAGTTTAACTTCCTCGCGTTTGGCGCATAGAAATCTTTTAAATTTTAGATATGTTATATTTTTCAACATAACAAAGCAATAGACGAAATAAAAAGTTGTTCGAATGAGTCTTAAGCTATCTTAATTCAACTTTAAAATTCAAATTTCGCACTTTTCGCTGTATTGACCAATCAGAGCATTCAAATTTAATTTGATTAGAGAAACTAGCGCCTGAAAATTAACTGACGCTATTGCCGCGGGCTATTGTTTTTCTGCCTGCTTCTTAGCTGGACCATTACTTAAATATTATTATTATTATTATTATTATTATTATTATTATTATTTATATAATATACTATATATAAAAGTACGAATTATCAAAAAGATAGAAAATAGGAAGCTTCATCATATGAACCAAATGTTTTTTAGTTGTTAGTACAGTGTATGTAAGCTACAATTAAGCTTACAAATTAATGACTGCAGTTACATATGATGCATCTTTTACCTGTCCATCATCAAGGGCTTGTGTAACTTCTCGAATATCACCAGTGAATGCTAAAGACAAAATACAGCAAATGATATTATAATAAATAGATAATTAAATGTTTTGAAATTTATTTTCTAGGACGACTCATTCCCTTATTCCTTCTACAAAACCGAATGTAAAACAAGCAGAAGAAAAAATGAAGTACAATCGCGGCCACAATGTCTTTGAAGTTTATTTCATTTAATAATATTGTCACACCGCTCTTTGTATTTTTAAGTCTCTGCCATAAATTTAAAACTTAAGCTTAAGGTCACCCGAGGAGAAAATTTAATACATTCACATGAGCCCTTAGATGAATTGTGAAACTTAAAGGTGACTATTACAATCAACAAGCTTAAACTTCGAATCTCGGAAAATGCTAACTTTGTCAAACGATATAACAACTGTTATATGTGCTTCCCCAAACCAAGACACGATATTCGCGAAAATCCTCTGTCAAAAGTAAAAGCTTACTGATGGATATGAACCAAACTGAAATAAGAAATCGTGTATTGAACAAAAGACAACGAAAAACAAGTTTCACACAAATACTACCGGCTTCATGAAGATCGGAGACGGTTCGAGCTGGGACTCCGTTTTTACAGATCATCTTTTAGCTACCTGAGTGTCGACAGAAAAACAGATATCAATATGCAAATTCTAAAGAGAGGACACAATCTGTTGCTCAGGAAAACGTCAATTTGTCCGCCATATTGAAATGCAAATAGCAAAACCTTAGAGCCCAGTCTCCTACAAGCTCCTGAAGACGTCGACAGTGCAGTGATTTGCGCATCCCTTGGCAAGGATCATATTTACCTCCTTTCAGTTTCTGGACTGATTGTTAACTTTTGATTGAGTGACAGTGAAAACCAGCAATTGCGTGAAGAGACAAAACTGCTGCACGGTCCTGCATGGGAGAAAAACGCGAGACGGGGCTAGCCTCCCACGCAAACGTTCTTTTATTTATTCATTTATTTATTTATATATCTATTTATTTCATGCTTTATTAGACAAGATCAAGACAGAATGGAATATACAAACATGACAAACAAACAAAGGAAGAAAAAAAATAAAGCCACAAACGGGACACTTACACCCATGTACTTTTGGCACGCCACGGGGCAGGAACGCGTGACGAACTATTTATATGAATTCTCCTGGGAATAGCTGGGAATATTTGATGAGGGACACGCGAAAGTCATTTCCTGAACTGACCTCAAATTGCCATTAGCAATTCAAAAAGCTACGCTCCTTGTTCTATTCTCTACATAGTCCGTATCCATTAAATTACTGGATATTCAAAACGATTCAAGAGCACTATAATACATTGGAAATAAGAGGGCATAGGTAAGTGAATCAATGCGATGATATTTCTCAGTGACGTTTTACGACGTATTATTCGCAGCGATTTGTTCCGGGTGGACTCTCAGTATAGGAAAAACCCTCAAAAACTGTTTATTATAGTAGTCCAACCAAGCGATCCAGTTGATAATTGGGGAAAAGTGTTTCACCATAAAACGGAGCGTGACAGCTTACATGCTGGAAATGCGATTAAAGATTTTTGAAGGTCAATTCCTGAGTGACTTGCTAATATTTCCGAGGCCAATTCTCATGTGGGGCAATTGTCGAATAAAGGAGGGATACTTTTTTGATGATCCTCTTTCATAAATAAAAAATTCTCTTTAGATTTTTCTCGTCGATCTCAATTTTAAAAAATCTGATTGAAAGGATCATGAACATGGAATCAGGTGGAATGTACAAGTGAGCTGCGGCTTCGGGAATATTATGCGTCACGCTATTGAAATTAGAACCTGTCCCGGCTCTGTACCACAGGAAAGCCACGCTTACTCAGCCTGCAAGTTAGTGTGGGAGAAATTGGTTCCTTTTGCTTTTTTTATTCTGCGAATTGACATGGGTCTAATAATGACATGGGTCTAATAATGGCAAAACTTAACGGATTTTGAGATGAATTTAATTTTATCCCTATTGGCTCTTGATATTGACGTCATTTACCTTCGCTCACAAATTACAAAAGCAGGAATACGCTACTTTGATAAGCAAGAAACTGGACCAATCCTTCTGGCTTTCAAATTTTTCAAGGACTAGCAAATGGACTGATTTAGCTTTATTCTCGCACAAGGCGTGGGCATTAGAGTTCTAAAGTGATGACGTAATAATAATTAAATTTGTGAAATTATGGGATTTGTCAGGATATTCTGAAAGAACAACGCCCAAGAGGCCTACTTGCCAAAAATCAGCACTTCGGGGCAAATTGTCTCTGAGATATTAGCCCAGTTATGCTCAGATGACTCCATACAAATCCTTCTAAATTTGGTAAAAATAAAACACAAACTGCAGTAACAAACATGATGAAACAACGCATGCTGGTTGTTTCATCATGCTTGTTACCGCGGTTTGTGTTTTATTTTTACTGAAGCTGAAATGGCCGAAGAATAAGAGTTTTTAAGATATACTTCTAAATTTCACTTGGTCATAACGTTATGACCCGAGTCAAATTTAGAAGGATTTGTATGGATTCATCAGAACAGAAAGGGCTAATATCTCAGAGAAAATTTACCCCCAAATGCTATTTAATTATTATGGCGTCACTCCTCTCAGAATGTATAATAATTTCCTCCCTTGCAAAGGCAGAGGCCCGAAGGACGGAAAAAAATTTTTGAGACCGCCTCGCACCCCCCCATCTCAGGGTCTTAATGACCGGGCCCCTCCCTTATCTGATGGTCTGGATCCACCACTGCCTTGTAAGGGCATCCAAGACCGGTTAGATCCTGGATTCCACTCCATGATCTCCATCAGTTCCGGATTCCAGTACTGGTCTCTGGATTCTTTGTCAGTAGAACTTGGATTCTGGATTCCAGTCGTTACTGCAATTCCAGATTTCTAGTTCCTAGAGCTGTATTCTGGATTCCAAAGCCCAGGATTCCTGATCTCACACATCCAAAATTCCTGGATTCCTGATTTTGCAAGGAAAGAGTGATTGGTTTGCTTGTCTTCTTGTTGTTGTTATTGTTGTTCTTCAGAACTCAGGAGGTTTATAATGGCAGAAGACATAGCCAAAGCCGCAGCTGAAGTGGGCAATAAGGCAGTTATGGACCTCTCCCTTACTGCAGGGGCTTTTTCGTTATCACTGAAGATTGATAACGTGTGGCTAGCAGGAGCTGTAAGCGTGGGTGCGTTATCACTTGGGGCATTTTATCTGGCCTGCAAGGGGCCCTCTGAAAGTGCTATCAGAAGAGCTTTGGAGAGAAAATTCTTGGGTGTTGTGGATCCTAAAGTCACGAACATCGTAGACGGGCACTCTATTCTGATTGAGTTGCTTTGTAGCACAGAAACAAGCTTTCTAGTGTTTTTGGAAGATTTTGAAACGAAGAGGATTAAGTTTCGGTTGGAGGAAGAGTTTAAAAAAATCGGCTTTTCGACAGAGCTGGATGTCACACTCAGAAACGCGGAGAAAGTATATCAGCAAGTTATCCAAATAAGAAACAGGTACGGGAAACTAGTCTAGTTTATTTGTTTGTTTGTTTGTTTTTTTGCAGTATTCAGTTTCTTACCGTAAATCTACTATTAAGCTCTCCGGGGGACTTATTTGTTTCAAACAGGGGGGCCTAAGAGAAACGGGGGACTTATTTGAGAGGGGGGCTGGGGGTATTTAGCTTAGCAAAGACGATAGTATCGGTTCTCCATGAAAAAATAGAATGCAATTTGGAAAAGCTCAAGGGTAACGCTTAGAGGTCATGCAACTGAGGATCAAAAACAAGTCTGTATTTCCAGCTTGTTGAATAAACCATCCTGGATCAGTCCACACGAAGTTTTACAGTCGTAATTGATCGATACAATATATCATTTATTAGTGAATAACGGAATGATAATGATGATGATGATGATGATGATGATGATGATGATGATGATGGTAATGGCGAAATATCTACAACAAGTCCCGCGTAATATCAAAATACATGAACTACAGAAGATCACACTACTTGGAACATCTCACATCCTCAAAAAGACACTGTCCATCAAATAGACTTCCACCAGGAGCCGATCAGTAATTGGTTCCTGCTTCTTCTGTCTCATTCTAAAGGCTGGTTTTCACTAGCGACGGAGTCGAAGTCGGAGTCGTAATCAGAAGCGTAGAGCTTATGATCGATCTAGTGAAAACAGATCCGATTCCTCTTATAAGACTCTGTCGCTTACCTTACGCTTATGATCTAGTGAAAACCAGATTGTAGGAGTCGGAAGCAGAAGCAAAAGAACCAAAAAAACAACAAAGCGCGGGAACGTGAATTGTGATTGGTTTATCCTTCCCCTCCTGCTTCCGACTCCGACAATCTGGTCTTCACTAGATCATAAGCGGAACGTAAGCGACGGAGTCGTAAGCGGAGTCGGAAGAAATGGAAACGTTCTGATTCTTCTGACTCTGATTGCGTCGCGCTTATGATTCCGCTTACGACTCCGATTTGTGATTTTCACTTGGTCATAAGCGCTCTTACGACTCCGCTTACGACTCCGACTCCGTCGCTAGTGAAAATCAGCCTTAACCCTTTAGTTTGGCGGTAATTATCGTACTTTGGATGCGCGCGCAAATGGGACGTTTTTTTAATACCAGTATATTTTTTTTAATTACAGTCAAAATAAGTTACTTTGGGTTGACGAAATTTACAAGACATACACTTTTTTAACAAGCAATATTTCTATAAGACTAAATACAACTGATGTTGCCAAGGTAAAGTAACTAACGAAAACTAATAATATTACCGGTATGATTAATTATTGCACATACCCACACTAACTTTAAAAGGAAAACAATCACGACAGGTAAAGCATTTGACATTTAATCTTTAACCTACAGAGCGCTGCTTTCGTTTCACTTGCACAGAATAATACATTTGTTGCTTCCATTTTCGCAGGAAAAAGTGCTCTAAACTGATGCTAAAAAATTAAAAATAACTTGATCTGTGAAAACGCCGTTGCATAGGCTAAGTATGGGACAAGCACGCTCCGGGTTATCATTATCACGCCCTCCTAATTTGTTTGTTTGTTTGCTTTTTTTGGTTTCCATTCTGTCATACTTAATAACAAAATGGATCTAGAGAGCTAGACAATGTAAAGGAATCACTAAAGCGAGAAATGGCCATTTCCAAAGGCCTTCGAGGAACAATTGGAAAGTTGCAAGAAGAAAATAGGAGACTGGGTGAGAGTGCCCAGCAAGGAAAAGTCGATGGGACAGAAATAAAGGATAAAACGCGGGCTGGAAAGGAGGAGATGAAAATTTTGCAAAGGGATATCCGGGAACTTCGTGAAAAGGTCCACGAGTTGGAGAAGGAAAACGAAATGTTGCAGCAGAAGTTGAAGAAGAAGGACAGGGAACTTGAACGCTTTCAAGCCTTAGAAACAGATGAAAAAAGTAATAATATAATACCTGTATTGTTTGCTTTCATTTTTCATATATCGTGGTCAAAAAACTAAAATTACTCGAAGAGAATTCTAACCTGCTAACAAATGTTGTTTCCCACTGCCGCAGAGTGCCGGCGACTTCTACGTTGGCAAAACTAATAAAAAATAGCCCCCGAAGTTTATTAATGAACGGCAACAGCAACAGTTACTCAAACAAAGAGGTCAACACGAATGACTGACTACTGACGCACGTTGTTTTAATACGAACACTAGATATTGACATTCAACAACCTCGTCCAAGGGCCTCTTCGGGTACATCTCTAGGGTTGAGCTCTGGGTATCAGTCGGAAGAAGATCCCGAAGAGAACTGTAAGTTTTCGAATCTTTCTTTTGGTTTTGTTTCTCTCTTCTGTTATAACTTGTGTCTTATTATCTGTAGAGTAGTACTTTGTATTCTTCGCTTTTTTAACATTGCACCCTTATTAGTAATTATACGTTTTTGGAGACTAGGATAAAATGATGTTCGAGTTAAAAAACTTTGGAAAAAATGAGTTATTGTATTTTACCTGCTACTCGAATAAATTTGTCTCAAGCGATCGAATACGAAAAATGAGAACTTAATATTCGCGCAGATAATTCATAACGATTTCAAATCGCGTTCTGAGACTAAGTAACTACAGCGTTTCACTGGGAGCGTGTAACTGAGTAAGGGGTAATGGACGGAACTTACAGTTAATGAATCTTTGAATTATTTGGTGCATTTATATCTCGTCAGTATCATCATCATCATCATTACCGTTACCATTGTCATTGTCATTCTCATTTTTTGCATCGCAGCCTTAGAGATTATCCAGATGCCTCGATCCCAAGCCGTTCAGGAAGGAAGGAAGTTGGTGTTAAGTTGCAGGACGCGAAGCTTACCTGATGTCTCATACCGCTGGATTAAAGATGATATCGAAATCCCTGGGGCAAATCGTTCGGACCTGGTGTTGGAGCCGGTGCGCATGCACGACTTTGGCCGCTATTTTTGTCGAGTGTGGGATAAGAGCGGATCGTTGACTTCGGAACCCGCGGATGTCGATGTTTTCCCATCTCCCCATATGAGTAAGTACGGTCAGTGGTGGATCCAGGGAAGGGCCCCGGGGGGCTTGCCACCCCCCCACCCTTTATTTCTAGACCAAAATGAGTCCAGAAGGGCGGAAAAATTTTTTGGGGGGACCAGGTCCCCTCCCCCCCACTCCGCCACTTATCTCGCCGTGTCTTTAAGAAAATGCATTTTGTTTAAATGATGATTATTTCTTAATTTAATCTGCTATTAACCTGATTTCCCGGCGCTTCATTAGGATTCAGAGGATTACACGAACTCGATGCTGACGCTAAACAAGCAGTAATTGACTTGCTAAGCAAAAAAAGCCTCCCTAGGCTACCCACCTGGAAGCAGATAGCAAGAAGATATGCTATGAGGGAAACGGAAATCTCCTCTTTGGAGAAAGAGAAAATCCCCGCAAGAGCCATGCTTGAAAAGCTGACATCTCTGGCACCTAATCTGACCGTTTACTATGTTTGCAAGACGTTCAAAGAAGCAGGTCTCAGGCGGCTGGATCTCGTGGATGTTCTCTCACAAAGGATGGCGATAGCCGTAAATTAAAAGAACTAATTCTTTTCTTAGGTTCCCTAAAAACTGAACTCCGAAACTAGACTCGGAAAAAAGAAATTAGAAGGGCTTAGTCTTAGGTGAAACTATTTGTAAGTTTCCATTTTCTATTGTTTGGAATTCCTAGCCTTTTGGCATAGCTAACAGCAAGCAATAGGCTCATTGGCAATCACCCTAACGTGGTATGGTGACCACCGCGGTCAAACGTCTAAATCGTTATTTTTGTTTTTTATTGCTGGGATTTCATTTACCAGTTAGAGAAAAATGGGCAAAGATGTATAAATCAGTTAGTCAACATAACTATCTTTCCATTTTTCTCAAAATTTTGAGCTTTTTTCGCTGAAAACGCTTCGCGCTAAAAGAGAATCATGTTTGAAAATGGCGCCGATAATAACGTCAGCATCGGTTTTCAATCACTTAGAACTTTTTTTAGTAAACTTTTAAAAAGTTTAGTAAACTAACCGGATGTTGGTAATACCCTAAACTTTCGATAGTGAAAGTAGCAACCTTAACTTTGAAGTATTTCGCTTAACTTTTGCAAATTTCACTCGTTTGACCGCTGTAAAGGTATGGTGGACATAATAGGAATCCAACCCCTTCGGCACCCAAAGGGGGTGGGGGAAGGGGAACGAGATACATACGGAATAGACAGGGATACTCCCCGTATCACTTGGAGTTAAATTGCAGGTTTTTGTTGCTGACGAAGTGTTCACATTCACGAGTTCCTGCAACCCCCTCTCTTCCCCCAGCCCCCCAATACACACGGGTCAAGCTTCTACAACTGAGTTAACACACGGGAGTAGAAACAAGCAGAAGGTGAGATAATTGAATCGGGAGTCCATAATGCACTCGACGCCCTGGGGGAGGGGAATGCAGGTACATCATCTACCCCGGAAGTATAATTGTATAGTAAAACTCAAATGAATTGCAACATCAATTTACTAAAAATATATATAGTCTCTACAATTCCTAATGTCGTAAGGTAGTCCAGCTACAACCTACTGAAGTTATTTAGCAAAACTGTTAAATACAATTAATCACTATCACGAACGCATGATTGAGTGCGACTATAGTAGACCAGCTATACTAGAAACTCGACCAATAAATACAAATTCCGTAACATTTTACCTATACTTCAATCACTTTTGATTACTTTGATCTTGGGTTTTTTTCTCTCTCTACCCACGTCATTACGCAAAAACCTAGAAAAGTAGTTCAACTTTTGAAATGAGACTAAATGGTAGTACTTTAATTAAGTAGCAGTACTCTACACTAGCTCTAATATTCAAATTCCTTAAAAAAATTTTTAAAAAGTTGATATTTGAAAGAATGGCATATTACGGCCATAAGAACTGTCCTTAACAGAGAGGTGTCCGTAAGGAAAGATTTGATGACAATAAATCGATAGTTAATCGATGTGTGAAATCTGTTTTCTGTGAATTGGCAGCCATTTTGATTTTGCGGTTAGATGATGTGAGGTCTGTAACCAAGAAACCTTCGGAGCCGCGCGCAAATACTCGCCACCGGCTTGTATCTCCCAAGAGTTTTCCGAATTTCCGACTTTTCCAGACCCTCAAGCTTTCTCGTTTCCAGGCCTTGCACCAGCTCACCGAAAAGAAAAAAAATCAACATGAACGCCAAAAAACACAATTCTCTTATCAATAAAGTAAATAATCTTCACCGTTACAACAAATCAGATGTTAGTGCCGCCTGTGGTTTGACTGTCTGTTCGAAAAACAGTTATCTTGAATATCTCTTGAGCATCAACTCTGGGTCCAAATAGGAGTGAAACGTAAAAATGCCAATGTATACACGACTGTACAACTCTTACAATCAAACACGTGAAGCGTTTGATCGGACGTCGGGTAGCCGTGTTGAAAACTGCACGCTGCCTTACTATTTACGTTACAAGAAGCATCTCCAGTTTTTAAAGATGAATTAATATCAATTTAACTTACGGATCTTTACAGATCGACAAAGAGCGCGTTAGAAGTCTAACCGACGTGCTTAAAAAGTAATAAAAAATACAAAAATATAAAAAACTGCTTGAATTTTGTAACAACGTACCTGCCTACGATAACTATATTAATGCAGCCACCACGTTTTACAAAATTTTGAGAATCGGTGAGTCGCGCCGAACATCTCGATTATCTACGTCTGCGACGATAGTTTAGATGGAAAGTATGCTCTAATTATAAAAATATCGTTTATTCTATTTAGTACTGCTATGCTCTATCAGTTTTAAATTGGGTTTGATTATGATAGAAAAAACCTAACTTCACCAGTCCGTTTTGTAGCCTTGATTCTCTTTATCCCTAAAGTCCCAATATTTACACACAAAATCTCCAGACATTTCCTTAAAGAATTATTTGGGATTATTTGATAAAGGATGAAAGCATTTTCCCTCTTTACTGATCATTATATTAATTCCCATAACCTTTTTTTTTTTGATGGTGTAGTGATATCGTTAGGAGAAAACTGATGTTGGCCACTCTTGGGACTTTAGAGGGTTACAGCAAGGAGCCCGAAGTGTGACCTTCTTTAATTAACTCACATTCTTACATGCAGACATAAACCAATCAGAAGTCGAGGACAGTTTCCCGCTGGCTTCTGACTGGATTAAATCTGTACGAAAGAATGTGTCAATAACTCAAAAGCGGTCACACTTTTGGGCTCCTTGCTTTAACAAGAAGAAAGAAAGAAGCAGCTCAGTCCAACAGTTGCAATTCTAAGCTAATTCGAAACTGAAACTAAATGGTCTGACAGTGCTATGATGATATCATTTCGTTTGATATCCTTGAGGTATTTGCAAAATTCGTACACAGTTAACTGTGGGTGGGCGGACTTAAGATATTCGATAACACTTTTCCCTCTTTCTTGGCATCCCTCTAAAGAATCTCTAGTCTCCTCTGCCATTTCATACTTGTGGGCAAGTTGCTTCCACCCCCCTGCGTCGGGAACTTTCTTTTGGAGCAGTTTTCCAACACTCTCTTGAATCTGCAGGTTATCTCGAAATACTTCAGTTAGATACTTGAATCCTAAAGCACAAAAAAAAAATTAAGAGAGCAGTTTGTAGTTTGTCTAAGAGACCGCGCGAAGAATGGGGCGAGTAAAAGAGCGGGGAGGGGGTGTAGAAGAAAGGAAAAAGAGGAAAGTTTTCGCTTCTTCCCCTCCCCTCTTCGACCAAAACCGAAAATCCCGTTCTTCGTAGTTCCTCGGTCTCTCTTTGCTCCGAAACCACGCGGAAACGCTTGCTACGCAGACTAGGTTATCTGCAGGAGGCTCCTGTTATCTGAAGTCAGAGGATCGATGCAACGCGGCACTTTCCGTGAATTGGGTCGATCCCGGTTACCTGAATATAACTGGCCCAAGTTGTTCAAAAGGTAAATAACGCAATCAACCGGATAAATTACCATCAGAACCACTATAATCATAGAAATCGAGCTAAAGAAGTGAGATTCTTTCAGTGGCAGTTAGACCAATTAAATTTTGCCTCTGGCAATGACAACATATGTTTCCCAAGACCTGGCTCTGTTTGCTATCCACCGGATAAATCACTATCCAGAGGATAAGTGATAGGAAATCAAATGCGTTATCCCCTTGAAAGATAAGAGATTAAGAAAGACCAACTATCCTCTCTTGGAAAGACTTTAATCTGGTGGATAGAGCTATCTCCCTTTTGAAGAACTGGGTTCTGTTTTAATGTGAGTCGCGGCGAGGAGAGAAAAAAAGACGGGAGCTTTACAAAGGACAAAGCAGGGGTGTGCGTTAATTGGACGCAAGGGATATTGGAGATAATTAATACATTCAGTGGCGAGTTTCTCAGGGGTTCAAAGCTCTGACGTTCTGTGTGCACTCAAGTTTAATTTCAAGTTTAAACAATGGTTTCTTTTCCTCACCCCTCCCCCACCCACCACCACTGTTCAGGGTTCTTTCATTTCACAACGGCCCAGAAATAGTTAAGATGCAGATTCACGTCAACAAGCTTACATGCACCCTATTCTAAAATGGTGGCAAGTTTAGTGACTACTTTTGTCTTCACAATAATTGGCCCCCAAGGCTCGTTTCAGGGTAAAAATTCTGTTGAAATCTGCATATGCAATCAAGACAAAGAACTAATTATTACTGGGCTGTCAGAAGAGAGCCGATGCATGCGTGATACTTACTCATTCCTTCACGAGGTAAAACGTCTAGTTCTGCCGCGCGAGACAACAGCTTCACAGGCTCAGACTTGTTCTGGCCATCAGAACACCTGACTTCACAAGAATAGCATCCAAAGTCACGTGGCTTAACTGAGTCAAAAACAAGACTTGAATTTGTTTGTTCTGGTAGCTTTAACTTATCTTTGAGCCACTGATAAGTTATTTTGTTCTTTCCTCTTGCTTCGCACCTAAAGACAACCTTTGAGCCCTCTTTGCCTCTCTGGTCTTTTGGCTGTTCCATGATTGTCAGTGAATCTACTAAAGAAGAAACATTTTATTTGATTCTGTGAACCTCGTCTAACTACACATTTGTAGTTCACAAGAATACGTATTATAAGACAGGCGGACAAGTTCAGGATGTTTGAGGTACAGAAAGCAATGCCGTATCCAGACCCTTAGATAAGGGAGGGGCCCGGCCATCCAGGCCCTTAGATAAGGGGATAGGGGAGAGGGCGGTCTCCAAAAAAATTTTTTTCGGCCCTTCGGGCCTCACTTTGGTCTAAAAATAAGGGGGGGGGGGGCTCCCCTGGATCCGCCACTGCAAGGAACAGGTGGAAGAAATATTTTGATGCTACATCAAGAGGAGAATGGGAACGTTTGGGTCGGTGTCATCTCTGTTAACGGAGACGTGTCACGAAATTTATCAAATTAGGACAGTAGGAGCTGCCACCAAATTGGATGGAACGCAAAAATAACCCCTTACAACAATAAAAGAAGGAATAAATGAAACAACAAATACAAAAGGAGGCACGGATGGACAGACTTGAAGAAGACTCAAAGAGATTACAATTCAAGGTGGTTCTTGAAAACCAAAAGAATGAGAAAACTTGTTACATGAGGGTTTTTCAACGTTCTTTTTTCTTGTTTTTAACGTTTGATATAATGTTTGGGATCGTGGAGACGTGAATTGGTTGACGCGAAGTTGTGATTTTGTCATTCACGAACATCAACCCGTAATTAGTATTATGACAGCCATGGAAAGGGCCTCTTTTTAAAATTCTAAGCTAGCAGATGATACTTAGACGGTTGAAGACTTGAACTATTTTGAATTTCGCATATAATTATATCTTTTACCCCGCTACCCTAACGGCTTTCAGGGAATATCTAAATCACAACCAAGAGAGAAGTCACAACATTGTGTTGCGAACTTTGCCAGACCGCTTGCGGCGCAGTTTACAACAAAGAAATAATGAGTTATGAATCCTTCCTACTGTAAATGAGAACAGTGAAAGACCCAATGGGTGATTTGCTTCGTCCCTTGTGTTTGTGCACACCAAAGACACAGGGTACCATACATCAGATTAGATTATAATTGTAAACTTTGTGGTCAGTTGGTGCGAGGCCTGGAACCAAGAATTGTAGGACGTATAGAGATAGTTATGAGATACGCAGAGGCTTCGAAGATTCTTAGGTTCCGGACCACGCACCGGAAAGGGTTAAATGGCAGCCAGAGAAAACGGATTTCCAACTAGAGAAGTTTGGTGGCATTCTAAGAGATTCGACGATGAAGTCAAGTCACTATGCTCTAATATACTCTACTGTATGATGGTAGCCTGTTCCAGGCTCCAAGATATGCAAAAAAGGGTGGGCATGGTGAGAGGGAGGGAGCGTCCGCCCCTTACCCAGATCACGCGCGTCATTTTCGCTTGGCTTGTTTTCTGCACGCACACTATCTGACAGCCTGGCCCCATACTGAATTTGATGGTCACTGTTAAACTGACCATAATATATTATTAAGAAAACAGAATTTGTTATCAGGAAATTACAGGCGTTTTGGCCTCTGAGGAATGAAGACTGAAAGCATAAAAAAAAACTTACCTTTGAAATCATCTGGATCCTACGTGAAATGAGGCAGAAAAAGAAAAAAAAAGAAAAAGAATGAAAGAAAAAGAAAACAGGAAAGAAAAAAAAGGACAAACAAACAAACAAAATCTGATTCAGTAACTGTAAAGTATACTTTATAAACTAATCATAACTATAACAAAATTCTCGCATCTGATTGGCTATCAACTGCCCTGATTTCAGCCTTAATTGGACAGTTTAATAGGACAGTACGCGTCATGCCTAAGTAATTGGACAGTACGCGCCATCACGCGCGCGCTTAAATAGCTTTTTTTTCACTGCTAGCAAAACAAAATCTCAAATTTCTTGTGTTTTGATTTAAAAAATAGCCTATTATATTACAAATTTTGTTAAAGTTATGATTAATTGGTAACAGAACTTCGTGTCGTCCAATTCGGTCTGTAATCATACTCGTGATTAAACAAATCGGACTCCCGCTACGCGGTCGTCCGATTTTGTTAATCACTCGTATGATTACAGACCGAATTGGACTCCACTCAGTCCTGTTACCATTACTTATGAAAGTATTTCACATACGAAACTTAAGACAACGACAAATAAGTTTTCAAAGTTTACTTCACTCTGCTGTTTGATTGTCACTTTCAATAATCATGTGTTTGTTATTGTTGTTTTTTTTTTTGCGAAATTGTGATTTTAGTTGTCATTGGACGTAATTTCAACACGTTAAATTTCAATGTGAGTAATAAGCAAAATTAAACATAACGGACATGCCGTGAAACCGAGTATCTTTTAAAAACAAGTACCAAGACGAAGGCAATCAGAACATACGGGCAAAGGCCGATACACACGAGGGATTTTGCTCCCGGAGCATGCTCCAGGGGCACGCTTCGGGAACAAAGCTCTTCCGTGTGTACCAACGATTTCATGGGTATATTTCATCCTCGGGAGCAGAATTTCCACCTCGCAAAATGCTCCACGATATTTAACCGGTTAAATATTTGGGAGCAAAGTCCCAGGGCAAATTGAGCGAACTTGAAGACGATCCCTCGTGTGTACTGGCACGTGCAAAATGAGCCTGGACCATGCTCCGGGAGCAAAACCCCTCATGTGTATCGGCCTTAACGTGACTGGGGAGCTTAAGCAAAGACGACAGCGACGGCTGCAGCGAAAACGTTACTTAAAAGGCGAACTCGGGCTGTTTCAAACTTTATCGCCATTATACCCATTTCGTCCAATTTGTCAAATGTAAGGGAATTCTCTTAAAATTTTATTCTTAAATACCGTAACTAAGCTAAACAAGAGAGAGAGAAAAAAACAAACAAACAACAACAACAAAATTTTCGAGGCTTTTCAGTCCTATAATACCAAAAAGGCAAGTATTTCCATTACTTTTTGACATTTTCGTTGCTTTCATCGTGATATTTAACACCCAAAAGATGCAATAGCCCACGTTCTTCGATACACACACATATATATCTATCTATCTATATATATATATATATATAAATTCTTACGTGACTCCAAGGCTTTAGGTACAAAATTGCAGGAGCTTAAGCACGTATAGAAAACCAAACCAGATATAGAGAAATGACCAGAAAGCCTCGCGGGAATCATGTTAGAAATTTGATATATCGAACGTGGGCTATTAGTTAGCCTGAGAAAACAGCCGACATTTGGCGACGCTACCACTGGTTTCCTCGCCAAATGACGTCCGACAAACGAGCGCAGAAATTCCATACTGATAACGCGTTACCACCCAGATCCGGGTAATGCCTCCGATTGGTTGAATCAAATTTCCCAAACAGCACGACCAATCAGAAGCACTACCCAGATCTGGGTAGTGACGCGTCATCAGTATGGAATTTCTGCGCTCGTTTCTCAGACGTCATTTGGCGGGAAAACCAGTGGTAGCGTCGCCAAATGTCGGTTGTTTTCTCAGGCTAGCTACTAGTACGTTTATGCTACACTAATTTAAGTAGTCATACCTCGTCTTGTACTTGCTCATAATCAGCTTTATTACCAAGGGATAGCTTTCTTATTAATTGCGGCAGTCTTATTGAGCCACTAGAACTTCTCTTTCTGGGTCCACCCTCTGCCCCTATGACAAGTGAACGTTATAATCATGAAAAAGTATATGATTATCATTGATAATCTTTTTTTTTTTTCGGTCTTACAATTTTTAGTCGCGGCTAATTATAAGTCCATGAAGTACTGCTTCACTTTATTGTTCTTTCACGGTTGTTCAAAAAAAAAATACAAGCCAAAAAGTTTAGTATTTTAGAAAAATGCCTTGTACTATCTATACATGTCATTAAATACAATACATCCTTCAATGAAAGGTCATACAAAACGTAAAAAAATAAGTACAGCTCAACGTGAGTGTATTATACGTTTCGATTTTAACGGTTCCTGGCAGGAAAATGACGAAGATGAACGCACGCACGTGAAGAGATAAAGTCAAATTCGAAAAAGAAAAAGAAAACAAAACAAAACAAACTGCTGTCTGTCATGGTGAGAAGTTCGAATTCATCATTCTCGCATTGTCCATAATGCATCTTGTTTATCCCCTAAAATTTAGCATCAGATTGTTTCCTATTCCTCCTACGCCCAGTTGTAAAAAGGCCGATTAGCGCTTAACCCGGGGTTAAATTTAACTCCGGTTTCTTTTTCTTATGTTCAAAAGCATCTTCTCGGATAATTTTCTCTGTTATTTTCAGAGCTTCCAATCATCAACTTGTAGACAAAAAGAATTAAAACTGAAATGCTTTTTAAGCTTTCAAATCCGAATTCAAATCTCGCACTAACCCTGGGTTATCTTAACCCAGCTTTGAACAACTCGGCCCCGGGTATTACAGTCGTCCCAAGAGGAATCGAAAACAATGGTTATGCAAAATGTTGGAGGTAAACGAGGTGCATTAAGGTCAATGTCATAATAGATTTACAAAGCTCGTTTTTTACTTTTTAAGTTTAGCTCTGTACGAAGAGAGGTCATTTGTTAAATCATCACTTTGGTGAAAATTTACTTTTTTCCTGTCAATCCTGCGAAGTCATTTTAACGCAAAAATCCGTTAAAAAGAAAACAAATGGACAAGAACCAGAACAGGAAACAAAAAGGATTGTTTGGAAAACAGAATTTGCTATCGTCAAGTTTGAGCTCAATCAGACAATAGAGCGGATTTTGAGCACCGTTCAGTACCGGCAAACAAGAATTTGTGCTACGTGACCAGGTTCTGCATTTACTACAAAAAATAAGTATAGCTTCTTGTCAGTTTCATCCATAAGAATTAGTAGTATTACTGGTTACTTCATCACACAGCCAATCAGAATCGAGTATTTCAAACACGTGCTGAATTAATTCACTCTCGACCAATCAATGGGTCAATTTATGGGTTAGTACTACATGTAAAACCATCATGAAAAGTCTCCCAACATTCCCCCGTCATGTAAGACACACGAAAAGTCACGTTTCAACCAATTTTATTCTGACGTCATACCTAGCGTTACAATCGGGACGTGTGTGACGCTCTAGTGACGTCACGCCCATTTCGTTTTAAAAAGTTTAAGGTGGCTCCGTAATTAGTACAAGAGCATTTAGCTGTGACAAATTTTCCGTCATAACTTTTTCGATTTAAACGCGATGGCTGCGAAACTTTGCAAAGAACAACAGATATCATTCGGCAATAATACGAAATATTCCGATGGTAAATATTTCTTGAGAAATTAGCGCTTAACGGGACCATAATGTTCAAAGAAAATCGCGTCTAGTAAAAAATTTTGCTGATATTTTTTACTGAAATTTCTGGTATCGGCTTTAATTGATATAATAAATATGCCAGAGGAATTTCAGAAATATCGTTGGAGCAGAAGTCCGTAACTAAAAGTCGCTCAAAATTCGGCTGTGAAATTGTTTTGGAATTTCAAAAATAAATTACTATCAGGAAGAAGGAGACACAGGTTTGAATTTTCGGGACAAGTAAATTCAGTGTTTGCTAATTCTGAAAACAGAAGCCGATTGCCTATCGTGCTATTCTTTAAAAGATAGTTTTCAGTTTTAGAAGCACTATAAATTGCTCCAAACTTTGCTCTGACGTCCTCGACATTTTTAAAATATCCCTTGGTAGTTTTGGTTCAAACTCGTGCTACATACATTTTGATGTATTGCAATGCATCCCCAACGGCTTTTCCTGCTGTACGTTGTTTCCAATTCAGGAAAAAGGCATTGGGATTGTAAGCTACCTTGTATCGAAGCTCAGATAGAACTGTCGAGCACCTTTGTTTATGACCAGAAAATGAGCACGAGCGGCAGCTCTGCGAGGAATTCGCACCTTAGCCAGGGGGGACGAATGACAATGATGCCCATGTCTGTGAACCGATCTGTATAAACATGTATTGCAGAGCAAAACATAATAATCAAGAAAAAAAATACCCATTCATTGAAGGAACGAGTGACAAAAATTTCAGAGTTGTAAATTTATTCACGGGCAGTATTTTTGCGATAATTCTATTTTGCACTGTGATGTTATTCGGTTCACAGGCATGGTCATCATTGTCGTTCGTCCCCCCTGGATGAGGTGCGAATTCCTCGCAGAACTGCCGCTCGTGCTCATTTTGTAGTCATAAACAAAGGTGCTGGACAGTTCTATCTGAGCTCTGATACGAGGTAGCGTCCAATCTCAATACTTTTTTCCTGAGTTGGAAGCAACGATAGGCAATCGGCTTTTGTTTTAAGAATTAGCAAACGTTGAATTTACTTGTCCCGAAAATTCAAACTGGTGGCTCCTTCCACCTGATAGTAATTTATTTTTGAAATTCCAAAGCAATTTCACAGCTGAATTTTGAGCGACTTTTAGTTACGGACTTCTGCTCCAACGATTTTCCTGAAATTCCTCTGGCATATTTATTATATCAATTAAAGCCGATACCAGAAATTTCAGTAAAAAATATCAGCAAAATTTTTTACTAGACGCGATTTTCTTTGAACATTAGGGTCCCGTTAAGCGCTAATTTCTCAGCAAATATTCACCATCAATGAAATCGGAATATTTCGTATTATTGCCGAATGATATCTGTTGTTCTCTGCAAAGTTTCGCAGCCATCGCGTTAAAATCCAAAAAGTTGTAACGGAAAACTTGTCACAGCTAAATGCTCTTGTATTAATTACGGAGCCACCTTAAAAAGTCATCAACAAAATGGCCGGGAAAGCGATGGTTCAGTGGCCATCGCCGGTACTGGCAAGGAGTTCTCGCTTTCGGCCGATGAGTCCAGCCAGCCAGGTGGGACTCGAGGCTTACAGGTTCGAATCATGTCGGGAACAGATTTTTTTTTATTTACAAATTTAATAAAATATCTACATTTTGTGCGTCGCACTCTGTCAACACTCGATATCCAAAAGGATAACTGATTTGGCTAATGGTTACATCATCACTTAACGTGTAGTCTACCAAATTGTCTCTGTAACTTAGATCTTGGTTCGTAGGTAGGTCCTTTTTCAGATGATACAATTAAAATATTTTGTTGTAATCTTCGCTTGAACAAATTGTTCATTTCCAATAAGGCATCTGGATAATCGTAGATACTGCGTAATAATGGCAGTTCTGCTGATCAACGTGGTTTTCATAATCTGCTTCTCCGTCATTTCCTCAGACCATACTTTTTGAAATGCAATCCGTTGTAGCTGTAGTTTGTTGGAAAACGGACCACCATAAGAGAATCATTTCTCAGCCACAGTTGTCTTTGGACAAACACGCCGCGGGTTGATTATGCAAAAAATCTTCAACTTCAGACCAGGTATTGTGTAAAAAAAAGTGCAATTAAGAATTAGCCGTTTAGCTTTTGTCTTTTTTAAAAAATAAGCGATTAAGACATTGAGTTCCCACTTCGAAAAAAGTCAAGGAATGTTGTTTCACAATCATCTAGAACATGTTGTATTTCTTTGCAAAATTGTAATTCTCTGTCTATCGACAAACCTATGAAATACCTGTGGCAAAAACTACAAGACGATTCAGAAGAAGAGGGCTCTTTTAACCCTGATTGGATAGTGAACAATCTATTATGTGTTCAACAGACAAACGCGCTCTCTGTTCAATCATGATTTCATTCTTAAAAGTTCAGTTTGCTCGGAAAAAAGTCTTAACTCTCAACAATATTCTTTGGAACATTGTCCAGCGTCAAAGGATAGCCAGTTTTATTGGACATGTATTCTAACTGACTTATGCGGCTTTGGTTGACAAACTCATCCAACAAGAAAAGCTGAATCACTACGACGGTTGTGCTATTCTTCGTTTTCACTGTCACGCAATAAACACGGCACAAAAAAATACATTTGAAACCGTCCAGTGGAAGAAGCCAAAAAAATGAAATGTTATAAAAGACTAATATATAAACTACTTGTCCAAATCTCAGGTCTTTGTGGCCCACAGTTTCTGAGTTAGTTGCCGAAACATTTCACGCACCTTTGTAGAGCTTTGTATGGAGACGCCATGTTGGTGGACAGAAACTGTCCACCAATATGGCCGCCGGAAATCAACAAAAACATCTGGAGTTCACTTTTTCGATAAAAGCTCCTCCTTTTCACTCGAGAACTAGTATACTTGCGCATAAACATATCTTCTAATACTTGAAATGGTTAAACTGCTGAAAATCAAGCGGAGAGACTTTTTTCAAGGAGATAGCATTCCTATTTTGTTGTCACGCACTGTGAAAACTCGGAAGTTCAAACTGCTGTATTTTCGAAATGAAACATGCTTCGGGGCTGGAAACTTGTACAAAGATTTATTTCCTATTAATCTTCAACCTGGTGTAAATAAGAATTCGTAAAACCTCGCTTTTTTGACTTTGCAATCTGATGACGTCACCGTGAAAACCATCAATTCAACACCCAAGTCAAAACCAACATTCTTGCCTAATGATGGATAATGATGACGCATGGAAGTATTACCACGATGAAGTGGTGGAACAAATTGACCTGAATTCTATGTTGAACGCTACCGAAAGTATATGCAGTGCTCTCGGCTTCAAACTAGATAAATCATGGGACGCGTACTGCCAAATATTGTCGTGGACCAGTATTTACCTCGCTTCTCTGGAACTTGATGTTGTCCAGCAGGGTGATGATCTTCAAAGCCGTATTTTATACGCTCTATACTACCGACCAAATGGGCTCAAATGGAAGGATTTCAGTGATCAACAAGAAAAAATAGAATGCCTTGATAGAGTCGTAAGAAAAGAAGAACACCAATGGACCTTGACATGATAATTAATGACATTCAAAATAAGCTTTGTTTCTAAAAGTAATAAAATTTCTTCATGATGACTACAATTTTGAGTCGGTGTGTGTTTGTCTCTGTCTTTGTCAAGATGGGGCTTTCTCTGTCTCTTCGGGTCGACTTTTCTCTGTATCGCATTGTATATAAAGAGTTTTCCTTTATGTGTAAAAAAATGTCATTTGTTCATAGTTTGTAAATAAATATGGTTTTTATACTAAACACGGTTTGTTGTCTGTCTAGCCGCGCGCGCGTGTGTGCGCCACGCGCGATTCAATCACCCGCGTAAAGGAAAAACACAGTGATATACAAGGCCCTTGTGGCCCCTGTGGCCCGTTCTCAATAGTCATAAACTTCGTGTCATTAGCGGTTTTATTCAGTTGGTATCGAACCTTCGTACCGTGAACATCATGGGTAAGCGTGTATGTCGTCATTGCCCAATACCGGGATGTTACTCTAAATTTTTAGTTCGATTAGCAAACCATTTGGCTCAGGTACACGACCTGTCTGACTTAGAGAGAAAATATTGGCTCCAGTTTGCTAAATTACAAAATACCAACATGCATATGGTTCGAGTTTATGATAAAGATACTCCGCCAAATACCATTTCGATATAAACAAGAGCAAAGGCAGTTGAACCAGTCAGTTATCAACATGGACCCAAGCTGGCCCCACTTGTTGTGGAAAAAGTCATTTTGTCAAACACCTGTTGGAATCTGGAGAAGAATTAATAGACGGAGCTCCTGAAAATATCATTTGGTGTTATGGAATATACCAACCGGCTTATGATGAAATGCTAAGGACTATTCCCAACATCACGTTCGTCGAAGGAGTTCCTGGTGATTTAGAATCTATGATAAACCCAACCATTCGGAATTTAGTGGTCATTGACGATTTAATGCAGGAGCTTAGCAATGATCAAAGAACTACCAATTTGTTTACTAAGGGCTGTCATCACCGAAATTTAAGCGTCATTTTCATTCTTCAAAATATTTTTCACCGGGGAAAAGAACTGAGAGACATGAGTTTGAATTGCCATTATTTAGTGATGTTCAAGTCTCCGTGAGATAGCAGTCAAGTCAGTCACTTGGCGAAACAGATGTTTCCCGGTCATGTCAAATACATGCAAGAAGCGTTTCAGGATGCGACAAAACGCCCTTATGGCTACCTGTTATGCGACCTCAAACCGGAAACACCTACCGACTTCCGGTTGCGCACAAACATTTTCCCTGGGGAGACTCAGCTCGCCTATGTCAGAAAGGTATAAAAAAGCTCCGTCGTAGTGATTGATATCAGTTGAGTATGGCCCAGCGACTAAGAAAGAACCACGAATTTCTTAAGCTCCTCGTCAATTGTACCCCAGCTCAACGTAAAGCAATTTTGAAAGCAGCCGACGACGCTTTAGTAAAAACCATTTGTGAGTGTGTATTCAACGTACTTAAAGAAACAGTCCCTGTCAGTAAACCGGCAAAGAGAAAACTTCTTAAGCACAAGAAAGCCTTGACTGCTCTAGCTGAAAAGAGTACCCCGCTAAATAAGAAAAAGCAAATCTTGATACAACACGGAGGAAACTTTTTAAGTGTTTTGCTACCTCCCGTTCTTCGAGTGTTGAGCTCGCTTCTTAGTTAAGATAAATCATACAAGACGCATGGTTCTCGTTCCTGAAAACACTCTGGAACGATTGCAGCAACGCCAGCAAATATTAACACCACCTGTAACACAAACTCTGAAAAATCTGGATAGCCAAATGGGGATATTTTAGAAAGTAAACAACTTGGTGATGAGGAAAAGGCGAAGCTTTACAATCAGGTGTTGCAAGGGTACTTGACTTATTACGATCAGCGGAAAGGCCAGCCTCTCCATGTGAAGTTAACGACCCCTAAAACAACAGAAACCCCCAAACCAGCTGAGAACGCAGAATCTACAGAGGAAGCTTCTGCAGATAATTCTCTTCCAACAGTAGTAGAGGAAGAGGTCATGAAAAGTGTACCCAAAATTTACAAAGCTGGGGCTAGACAGTTGTTGGATAAAATTAAAAAACACCAGGATGTGCTGCACTGGAATGATAAAGGAGAGCTGTTGTATGAAAACAAACCAATCCCAGGTTCTCATGTGGTCGACCTAGTCAACGACACATTGCGTCACCGAAAAGGATTTGAACCAGTGGGTTGGTCCGTGTTTGCGAGGGGCCTTGCGCGAATGAATGTCCCCGAAAACTTGGTTCGTAATCCCCAACGTCAGAGTGCCATAAGAGAGTTTAAAGCAAGAGTGTGAGAGGAGACCCCAGAAAGTCCTTCGCGTTGGCTACCCACCCCACCTGTGACGTTATCTTCTGTCAAAAAGCAGAGGCGCAGAGTCGAGAGTCCTCGCCCTCAGGCTGTTCGATGGTTACGATTATAAGTCGTGACAAGAGACTTTTTTTATTGTGAAACACAAAACTTTATTTTGTAATTCAATAAAATGTGTTGAAAAGAAATTACATGGTGTCTGTTTACTGAACTTAGTGTCGTGCTTTTGCTCTTTGCTTGTTTACATCAGTACGATATTTCGGAAAACCTATAGGAAAATGTTTTTCAAGAAATCGTTTTACGAGACTATCATTTTTACTTGTGTTTTTAGAAAAACGATGGACAATAGCACTCATACTTATATGCCGACTACGATATAAAGCAAAATACAAACAGTAATGTCCGCAGACGTTTGAATAGATGCTTTGTAATGTCACAGTATTAAAAGTCCACTGGTTAGAATTGTTGTTTAAAAAGGCAGTAAATGTTCCTGAATATTTGCTGGGTGGTTATCTGTAAGAATCGAAAAATTCTCCCTTTTGCTCCTTGGTGAAATAAAACGCCACCCAATGCGAACCCGGCTTGTCACTCGTATCCACATTGGCGATAAACAGGGCTGGGTAATGTGAAACACTTGCAGGCAGCTGGTCTGAGGGATACACGCCTTGAAACGAACCTCGTGTAAATTTATCCTTTCTCAAAATAAGGGTCAGTTGAATAGTGTCCATTTTTAGTTTGTGTAGTCGAACAACACGTTGCGGTTCCCGTCAATTTCAATCACGTTTTGGAATTCAGCGTACACGATAAGGTTAACCGTATTGGCCAGTGGTTCCTTGAAATGAAGCTCAGCGTGGAGGTTACCTTGCTTTATTAGCTCAAAATGGTCACTTGAGCAGTGGTATGGGGACAAGTCAAAGCAGAATGCTGTGTAACCAGAGCCATAATCGCTTCTACTGATTTGATTACCCGCATCTTGGGATAGCTTTCCTGAGAACAGGCTTTGATAGCCCGCTATTACATTTTGACCTCTAGCTTCGTCAAAATTCAAGAACAGGGTTTCCGAGGAATTTGCTCTCCGTCCACATAGAGACCCTCTTGAGTTAGATTGTGGTGTTTGAAGTTGAACGGGTTGGTACTGTAAGTTTCATTATATGCCTGAGTATCCACTAAGACCAGCACGATTCGTTTAGGAATGTGACCCAAAAAGATGTTGTCGGGGTTAAAACTGCTAAATCCTCTTGGAATAGACAGCACTTTACAATCGATTCGGCGAACCGGGTACTTGGCGCTGGAGTGTTTTAGTGCAGCCGCATGGCCAAGTATAATAGAGGAGGCCAATTTCACCCGGCGAACGAACAAGATGGCTTCTGTGATTACCACCTTGAAAGTTGGAGCGGCTGCTGATGACATTAGACAAAACGAGTTCTTGGCTCGGTTCAGTTTGATTCTTAAATTCACTCCATTTAGCATCAACCGGTCTTGAAAGAAAATGTCGCTATGAATGGGCCCCATCATATCCACAATGTGACTTTCTTTAGTGAAATCATAGCGAACCTTTAACCCCTTGTTTGCAGCATCGTCTGCGGCCACAGGGTTGGCAACATCCATTTTTCCAGGGGTATCTTTGTAAAACATGGCCATAGAAAGTTGACTTGTTTTTGCTTCTTCTCCGTAGTTTAGCAAGCTTTCGATCATGGCGCGATAAGGGTAGGTATTGGTGGATGGAGAGATCAATCGCTCGTTCAAGGAAACGTCCACTTGGGAAAACAGGGAATGTAAAAACAGGTTCACGGGACCTACTTGTGAATCGGCGTCTATGGCGGTTCCATTTGCTTTTGTGATCTTGGCTTTAACAAATAACTGAGTACGTGCCAAGTCCAAATACTCATCTCCGGTTCCCGAAACATAAAATTCGATCGGACCACTGTCCGTGATGTTACTGATGGGGTGGTACTCGATCCATTGCCCTTTGGAGATAGAGGTTTGTGTTGCAGGAATCGTAAAGAGATCCAACTCTGATTTCGTACATTCCTGAGACTCGTGATGCACAAAGGCCATATTTACTTCCAGAAAGAAAATTTCTCTTTGGGCTTCTTTTGCTGCGGAGATGTTTTTGCTTTCTTGCCTTGAGGCGAACTGATTTTGGTTCCTTGCCCTTTTCTTTTTATAGCTTTTTTGCCAGCTCCTGATTGTGTCTGCAATGAATTCTTCAAGGTAGACCGAGGGCTTGTTTCGTGCGCTTGTGGACTGCTGTTTTAATGTTATCTCCATCAAGAACATCTTGGACGACATTGACACCTGTTTGTAAAGCCTTTTTTCCAATCACCTCAGCACCCTGTTGAAGGTGAGGCATCGCCAAGCGAAACAGACCTCTGAATATGGACCCTAGTCCATAACCATGCTGAAATCGAGCACCGTGAAACGCTGGTAAACTCTCACCTTTTTGTTTGGCTTGATTAACATAGTACTGTTCGTACAACTTGTGATTTGGAGTGTGGAGTTTTTTCATCTTTAAAAGTACTGAGGTGCACTTTGACGAAAATGAAGTGTTAACAACACTCTCCCAAACTCAAATGGCACAGACTCCCCTGTGTCTGTCTTTATATTGACTTCGACAGTTTCAAATTGCTTTCTGCTGACAGGTGAATATTGGGGGCGCAAAAATGATTTACTGACTCGCTTCCCAACCTTTCCTTCTACAGGAACAATTCGAAGCAAAGGTACCAATGCATCTCCAACATATTGTGACTGAATAAGATCACAGTAAATGAAAAGGTCGTGAAAGCCATATTCCAAATCCACTTGTCTTTCAGCGGTAGAGGTATTAGAAATAATTTCTTCTGGTGAAAATCCCAGCAGGTATCCAATGTTACCAAAGAAAAGTTCTACGTTATTTTGTAGGTGAACAGTCACCTTTCTAGTGAACGCACCGTAGGAAAATGTCACGTCGTCATTGAAACGCTTTACATTCTCGATCAGCTCTTTCATCTTTGATAAGATATCTCCAATGGAAGAATAATGACCTGGTGGTACAATTAGGGCTTCCCATACTCCGGACAATTCTTGGTTCCGAAGGTAGAATCGATTACCAAAATTTTCTTGGACATTATTCCAGCTGTAAGGATAGTGAATTTCCCCGTCAAGCTAACGGTCTGAGGTAAACCAACTTGGTACTAAGTTAATGTGTTGCTGGGAAACTTATCGAGGCTGCTATTGCTAGGGAGATGCAGATAAAACTGTCTTACCTCCATCGTACCCTGTGTTGAAATGAACTTTTTAATCCGGGTATTCTTAATTTATTAGAAACCACACACCATTCATTTTATTATTTCATTTTTATTCACTACACAAAAAATACATAAATTACAATTTCAAAATATCTCTTTCTTGAACCCAAGAATCAAATTTTGGATCTTTGTATCCTTTCCATCTCACCAGATACTCTACTACGCCTTTACGCTTTCTCTTCCGCAAAATCTTCTCGACGCGGTACACATCATTCTTCTTAATAATTTTCTGTAATTCGGGCTCATAAAATGTTCCATCTAAGATTTCACCTGCATCATCTTTTAGTTTATAAACGGGTACTTGACGAGCCATTCGCTTGTAAACAGTAAAAATTTCTTCCGTAAAATTAGGTAAGTAAGATTTTTCAAACATTCTCTTCACTTTGCTAATCCTGACGCGATCTCCCACTTGAAATTTATATCGCACAGGCTTTTGAACATCATCCCCATACAAAGTATCCCACACTTTAGCTTCATTCGCTTTGGTCACCTGACTCGGTTTCATTTTAATACTTCGGTGGTAAGTGTTGTTGTAAGAAGACACTAACTGGGGTAATACATTGATATAGGTGAGAGTGTATTTGGCCGTGAAATATTTGTACATCTTATTCTTAAATGTTCGGTTAAAACGCTCAACCACTGAGGCTTTGAGCCCAGAGTTAACAGTGAAAAAGGCACTGTTGTTGTCACGCAGAAATTTCTGGAACACGAGATTCTTGAACTCTGTTCCTTGATCTGTTTGCAGTTTGATGGGTTTGCGACCAGTAGAAAGGATCTTTTGAAAGGCTTTGACCAGTTCCTGACCTTGTTTTGTCTTCAACGGTAACACAAACGCGTACTTGCTGAAGATATCTATACAAGTCAGTAAGTATTTATAGCCCTTGTTGTAGCGACTGAGATTTTGGAGGTCGACCAAATCCGCTTGAAATTGCTCATCTATTCCAAAAACGAAGACTCGACTTCTCTTGTAGCGTCTTCGCGCGGGTTTGTGAAGAGTATAAACATCTTGCTGACTCAACCAATCTCGGACTTGTTTACGCGATATCTTGTTCTTTCCTTTCTCTTTGACTGCTCTGTAAACAGCATCTAAAGCACCGAAACTTGCGGGTTGACTTGGACCGAGGTAGATGCTGACTAGTTTTTTCTCCATCACAAAATTCCTAGTTTCGTACAACCACTTTACCACCGCAGCAAGCTAATACACAACGTATGCGACTGAAAATGGGTTCAAAACCAAAAGTGGATGATGGCGGACAGCAACCCATCACTAGTGTTTACCTGAACGGTAAAAGATGTAATGACTTCTCTCTCCCTGGTGCTCCTTTATATAGATACTGCCGAATCTGGGTGAGAGTGGGAACAAGAAGATGAAATAGTAGTTCCCATTCATCCTCGGTTAATTCTACCTGATCCGCGAAGTTCAAAAATACCACCAATCGTCCCCAGTTTACTTTTGAAAAGACCTCAGAGTGGAGTTTTTTCAACCTTTCTAGACTCGAACCCGGCAGATCTTTAAATTTTTGTTGAAGCATTTCCATTTCTCTTGAAGACACTTTTCAATGTTTAGGCTTGTGCGCGATACAGAGAAAAGTCGATCCGAAGCAAAGACAGAGAAAGCCCCATCTTGACTAAGACAGAGACAAACACACACTGACTCACAATTTAGTCATGAAGAAATTTTATTACTTTTAGAAACAAAGCTTATTTTGAATGTCATTAATTATCATGTCAAGGTCCACTGGTTGACACGAAGTTTATGACTATTGAGAACGGGCCACAGGGGCCACAGGAGCCACAAGGGCCTTGTACATCACTGTGTTTTTCCTTTACGCGGGTGATTGAACAAATGACATTTTTTTACACATAAAGGAAAACTCTTTATATACAATGCGATACAGAGAAAAGTCGACCCGAAGCAAAGACAGAGAAAGCCCCATCTTGACAAAGACAGAGACAGACACATACCGACCCAAAATTGTAGTCATCATGAAGAAATTTTATTACTTTTAGAAACAAAGCTTATTTTGAATGTCATTAATTATCATGTCAAGGTCCATTGGTGTTCTTCTTTTCTCACGACTCTGTCAAGGCATTCTATTGTTTCTTGTTGATCACTGAAATCCTTCCATTTGAGCCCATTTGGTCGGTAGTATAGAGCGTATAAAATACGGCTTTGAAGATCATCACCCTGCTGGACAACATCAAGTTCCAGAGAAGCGAGGTAAATACTGGTCCACGACAATATTTGGCAGTACGCTTCCCATGATTTATCTAGTTTGAAGCCGAGAGCACTGCATATACTTTCGGTAGCGTTCAACATAGAATTCAGGTCAATTTGTTCCACCACTTCATCGTGGTAATACTTCCATGCGTCATCATTATCCATCATTAGGCAAGAATGTTGGTTTTGACTTGGGTGTTGAATAGCACAACCGTCGTAGTGATTCAGCTTTTCTTGTTGGATGAGTTTGTCAACCAAAGCCGCATAAGTCAGTTAGAATACATGTCCAATAAAACTGGCTATCCTTTGACGCTGGACAATGTTCCAAAGAATATTGTTGAGAGTTAAGACTTTTTTCCGAGCAAACTGAACTTTTAAGAATGAAATCATGATTGAACGGAGAGCGCGTTTGTCTGTTGAACACATAATAGATTGTTCACTATCCAATCAGGGTTAAAAGAACCCTCTTCTTCTGAATCGTCTTGTAGTTTTTGCCACAGGTATTTCATAGGTTTGTCGATAGACAGAGAATTACAATTTTGCAAAGAAATACAACATGTTCTAGATGATTGTGAAACAACATTCCTTGACTTTTTTCGAAGTGGGAACTCAATGTCTTAATCGCTTATTTTTTAAAAAAGACAAAAGCTAAACGGCTAATTCTTAATTGCATTTTTTTTACACAATACCTGGTCTGAAGTTGAAGATTTTTGCATAATCAACCCGCGGCGTGTTTGTCCAAAGACAACTGTGGCTGAGAAATAATTCTCTTATGGTGGTCCGTTTTCCAACAAACTATAGCTACAACGGATTGCATTTCAAAAAGTATGGTCTGAGGAAATGACGGAGAAGCAGATTATGAAAACCACGTTGATCAGCAGAACTGCCATTATTACGCAATATCTACGATTATCCAGATGCCTTATTGGAAATGAACAATTTGTTCAAGCGAAGATTACAACAAAATATTTTAATTGTATCATCTGAAAATGGACCTACCTACGAACCAAGATCTAAGTTACAGAGACAATTTGGTTGACTACACGTTAAGTGATGATGTAACCATGAGCCAAATCAGTTATCCTTTTGGATACCGAGTGTTGACAGAGTGCGACGCACAAAATGTAGATATTTTATTAGATTTGTAAATAAAAAAAAACCGTTCCCAACAGGATTCGAACCTGTAAGCCTCGAGTCCCACCTGGCTGGCTGGACTCATCGGCCGAAAGCGAGAACTCCTTGCCAGTACCGGCGATGGCCACTGAACCATCGCTTTCCCGGCCATTTTTTTGATGACTTTTTAAACTTTTTAAAACGAAATGGGCGTGACGTCACTAGGGCGTCACACCCGTCCCGATTGTAACGCTAGGTATGACGTAAGAATAAAATTGGTTGAAACGTGACTTTTCGTGTGTCTTACATGACGGGGGAATGTTGGGAGACTTTTCATGATGGTTTTACATGTTGCACTAACCCATAAAATCCTGGACGCTGATTGGTCGAGATTGAATTAATTCAGCACGTGTTTGAAATACTCGATTCTGATTGGCTGTGTGATGAAGTAACCAGTAATACTACTAGAATTGCTTTACACTGTTTTTATCTGCCCATTTTCTATTGTAAGATATTGTTAACTTGAGCCTGCCGTTTGCTTTAAACGTGACTCTAAATCTGTCTTATGTAATCACCAAAAAATTTAAACTTTAAACTTTTTGGTGACTCCATAAGACAAAGTAACAATTGAATTGTTACTTTTTGCGTGCCATGGAGTGTGCTTTATAAGAGAGTTCGCTATGATCTACGTACAGTATAACATCGTGTTATATCATCATACTATGTTCTACTAGATGTTCTATCCTTTGTACCTTCAACACTTTCACCAAGAATCGAGCCTTTCCTTCCAGGTGAATACCCCACTGTGAGATCTAGCAAGTTTTCACCTTCGCCATCATTTGGAGCTAAGAGTTAAATATTTAACAGAAAAAGTTTAGACACAAATATAGTTGCGTACAACCTCGGACAAAACTTGTTGCCACGCACTGCAAAATTGCCCCAGTCAGCTCTAAACCATCACTTTCTCCTTGTTTTACGATGCTGATGATGATACATATTTTTATGGCGCGAAACTGGGAAACAGACGGAACTGCACGTGCAACCGTTTAATCCAAGGTTGTCCCAAAAGAATTTGTCCAAGATCTTTAGTTTATGCGGGAACGTTTTGCATCAGCGGGTTAAGTCGCAACGACCAAATTTTAAGCGTAATGCAGTTTCTTAGCTTTCTTGGCTCTTTATTTCACCATTAATGTTCTTACGGTCGGTAATTTCTGTAACCTACAGGTTAACCATGGACAAAAGTCTTGGGACACTTCTGCATTTCTGGGGTATTTTTCAATTCACACAGACCCAACCCCTTCCCTCACCCACAAACAAAGATGGACGCGTGTATCTGGAATTTTTTTTCCGAGTTTCAACTTTGTATACCGTGGGGGAGGGAGAACTACAAGAAAATTTCAAAAAGGATGCACCTTTTTTTATGAGGGAGCACAGAATAGAGAGAGAAAAAAGGAATACTGCATTACTGTCCCAAGGACGTTTGTCCATGATTGTACCTTACTCTCGATACAAGTTCAGTAGTAGTTCTCTCAAATTACCAGTTACATTTCCAGATCTTGAGCTGAACATTTCCAGGCCCCGCAGTTTGAGGAAGAAAGGCGCTTAAGCAAAGACGACTGCTACGACACCGAGAACGGGAAGAATAAAAAAACCGCTTTTTTAACATTTTGCCTCAGCGTTGCACGTCTACGATGCAAAATTTCAAAAATTCGCATTTTATTGAAGACATGACCATCAGACAACGATTTCTTTTACTGAACTTAGATACGGTCCTTTAGAATTCAACCACAGAGAAATTAATCCACATTTGGCCAAATGAACGAGATAAAATAAGGTGAGTTATCATGGTTGACACAGAGCAAATTCACTTTTTGGATGACGTTTTCGCTGCCGTCGCTGTCGTGTTTGTTTAAGCTCCTGCGTAGTGGATAATGGGAAAAAACCGAATCGCGCACATTTGGGAATGGTTCGAAAAGAACTTTTTTACTGTAAAAGTTGAAGGCTGAATGTATCTTTGAAAACAAATGCACCTGACATCGCAAGTAGTACAAGACAGACGTGATTCTACCAGGGTCCGAAATTGCGCCTTCCTGGTCGCCAATGCGACTAAAATTTTAGTCCTGGCGACCAGAATTTCATAGCTGGTCGCCAGCTAGCGACTTGTAAAGCTGGTTGTTATTGTGGACTTTAACGTTGGGAGAAACTGATTAAGAATTGAAACGTCGAACCTATTTGCCAACAGGTGTCTTACTTTTTGTCCTGCTGATAATTTTTAATTAAAAGTGAAACGAATCTTCCTGTAATAATACCTTCGCAACAGCTACGATCAATACGAGTTGAACATTTTCAAGCCGCCATGTTGTTTTCAGCTGTAATACGGTAAGTATGTTATGTACTTTGTGGATGTGGCACAGTTGTGGCCTGGTACGAGCAACATGGCGGCTTGACTCGTGTTTATGTTTCGTGGTAGTTATCGGAAGAAAATAGAGTTTTGATAATTATGATCAGTGCAGTCATGAGCAGACAGCTTTCTGTTCCTACGTTCTCGGTCAGATAGCTTTATATCTCCAAAAAGCGATTTGTGGAAAAAAATAAGACTTCACTCGTACACTTACGGTAGCTTTCTTGTATCGGGAGCGGAAGTAATGCAATTTTTTTGAGCATAAAAACGTCCAAACCATACATTTTTTATTCGTGTTTAAACTCTTATTTGAAAAAAGGGAGGGGGAATTTTTGGCGACCACAATTTGCCCTCTGGCGACCAAAAATTTATACTTAATCGCCAGTTGGCGCCCGTATTAAAAAGTTAATTTCGGACCCTGTAGTCTACATGGACGGTTGTCGTTTGAATATGGACTTCGTATAAGATTTACTCTTAAATATGGACCTGGTAAGTGGGCATTGTTGATGCACATAGAGTTAATAACGTATAATATATTAGACTCTAACCTTCCCTACTGTGTTGGCGTTTGACTTTGCGCTTGGGACGACGTTGAGTGACATCGGGCAAGTCAACTAGTTCGTCAACCTCAGCCGATGAAGCATAACCGTCGTTCTGTAACGACAGTTGTAATCTGGAGGTGGGAGAAAGTACGCCTTGGTCTTGTGGTATAGACGCCTCCGGAATGATGACTTGTTGATTCTCTGGACCTGTTGTTTATAAAGTAAATTTTACAGAAAAATTATTGAATGAGGCTGGGTAAGATGTGAAGCCGGAATTATGCAGACCGAGGAGGATGTTATCTACTGAGGCTGAAGACCAAAGTGGATAACATCCTACGAGATGTACATAATTCATTACATCTTACGACAGCCAAATTACTAAGTTCTTAACATGTTTAGAGGAATACACGTATAGACTTTCTTCAAAACTCTGGCCTGTTTCTCGGTACGGAAGACGTAGAAATGGTGAATTCCCCCGCCCTGTTTCACTGATGTACAGGCTGTATTTTAGTACTTAATTTCTACCTACTGGAGAACTCTTAATCAAAACATGTTAGCCCAACAGGTCATTCACTTGCCCTGAGCTATCAGACAGCACTTTTGGGTACCACGCCCACATCAGTTTCCCTACTGTCACGTGCTCCCCTCTTAAAATAAAGTCAGTTGATTGATTGATCGAGCCTAAGAAATTCAAGCAATTTTATTATTCCAAGGATAAATACTACCACCTATGGGAAACACAGTATAAGGTAATTATATTGGTCCTATAATCATGGTTCAAACTAAGTATGCACATTGACAGTTCTGAGACACTTACTACTTTTAATTTAAGAACCAGGTTAGAAAGGTGGACATTGAGAACCTCCTAAGAACTGACACCTGTGTTATTAACTCTTAGAATAATTAATGACACTGGCAGGGTTTCCACGTTTATTTGTTTCTTTGTTTTTAGGAAGTTTAAAGGTACATGTAGTTAGGTGACCATGCATGCAATTAGTTTGTACTCCATAGCTAGTAGTAGTAGTGGTAGTGGTAGTGGTAGTGCTAGTGGTAGTGGTAGTGGTAGTGGTAGTGGTAGTGGTAGTAGTAGTAGTAGTGATGAAAACTAATTTTGAACAATAGACAATAATATTATGCAAATTTAAGCACTTTGTAGCTATATTTAAGGAACTCCGTCATTTACATACTGGTATAATTACAAAGATAAACATTCAACTTAGCAAATGAAGTGAATTATGAATTGTTATCACTTACTTGGTGTTTCTGTCCTTTGTTTTACATCCACACCATTAACATCAACGTCAGCATGTGAAGGTCTCGCAGACTTTGGGAAGTTACGTTTTCCTTTGCTCTGCCAAAATAATATTGTTCCAGCCAGAGCAACAAGAAAGATACTGGCAAGTGCACCAAGCACTATTATAAGGATGTTGTTCTTGTGATTTGTGGGTGGGTCTGTAGTTGACGATGATGATGATGATGACGATGATGTTGGTGATGATGGTGATAATGATGATGATGATGACGATGACGATGACGATGACGATGACGATGATGATGATGATGATGATGATGATGGTGATGATGATGATGATGATGATCCACTGGTAGACTCAGAAGGCAGATTTGTCGCAGATGTTGGCTTGGGGACACATTTCTTATCCCCTCGTTGACTGCAGTGTTGATTTGTAGCATTCAAGCCCTGCATTACACATTCTTCCTGTATTACATCCTTCCCATCAAAACAGCAATATGCACACTGCTGACAACTATGAATATGCGGAGCCTTCTCAACGAAGTAAAAGCCCTTTTGGCATCTTCCACTGCAATTTCTATCGGACAATTTTGTGCAGTTGACAGCCACTACCTCATGTGTTACACATTCATGACATTCATGGCAGGAGGCTGAGTCATATGTATTAGAGAATTTTCCAGGAGGACAGGGTTTGCATTCGATTCTTTGTGTTGGGGATATGTCACTTCCACATACTGGAAACAATCCCAATCCAGGATGACACTTGTCACAATGTAAGCACCGTAAAAAAGTGTCATTTATCTTTACTGTAAACTCATCTTGTGAACAAATTTGATGACACTCGTGAGGCAACTAAGTACAAATTAAAAGAAAAAAAGGTGGTTGAAGGAGGTAAATGTCACCAAAAAAAGTAATAAAAAAGAAAATAAAAATTAGATTAAATTTAAATTTAAAAAATAAAGCCTGCGTGGATCAATGACAGTCTCAGAAGATTAACTATTTTTTGTTTCTCTTTGAAACAATTCCTTCCCCACTACTGCAAGACAATCTTCTGGTCTCTAAATCAGTAAAATCTGCAGCAATAGTAGTTTCCAGCAATATGCTTTTACAATACTAATGATTACTGCCAGTGTGATGTACATGTTGCTAACACTAGGAGAATTTATGATCAGAAATCTGCACAAGCAGCATCGTATATATGATAAAAAATTGTGAGCACAAAGAATAGACTTCAGTCTACATATATTGTTTTGCACAAAAATCTGATCATGTTAGCACCAATTCCTGTAGCAACAATGTTCTTTTATTTCATCATTTTTTATACAGAGCATAAAACACATACATGTATGTTCTGCTTCCCCAAGGCTCCCTACCTTCCCAGGGGTTTATTTTAAGGGAGGGAGCTTAACAATGGGGACTGGTTATTTGAGAGGGGGATTATGTAATTTAGTGGGTGCTATATACTACTTTTTGAAACAACCAGAAGATGTTATCAATTCTTCATTCAAGAACTAGGATACAAAGTGGCAAGGCTGCAAGCACATGAAGATGGAGCTAGGTCATCATCACAGAAGATCAAACACAGTTCAAACTAATCCAGATGGTAAATAATTAATCATAACAGATCTATCAATTTAAATGAAGTGTTACAGTCTTAATAAATTATTAAAACAGTCAATCATGTTTGATTTTGAAGAATAAGGAGGAGAGGGAGGGGGCTTTAAAATGAGGACAGGTTTCAACCCTATAGTATAAGCTGCGACAACTTTAGGTGCAATTGCGACTAAAATTCTGGTACTGGTGACTTGATTCCGAAAATAGCCGTCAGGGAGAAGATTAGAAGATCTCGTCGATATTCATTTAAACAAATGTTTTAAGATTTCTGCTAAAATATTTCTCTGCTCCACTGAGCACAAATCAGTTGCCTAGCGCATGACAATTTTTTTTAACCTCCTTCTAATGCGTGACAATCAGCACGCAATGGGTTTGTTTTTCATAATTTTCTCTCAGAAAACACACGTGTGGCTAAACTGGGAAGACTAGCTATTACAATGCAAATTTATAAATATTTTGGGGGTTAAAGTCAAGGGAAAAGCAGAAAGTTACAAGTCAGCATAGAACATTTTCAAATAAATTTGAGTAACATGAAATGTTGAATCGTTTTTTTTAAACAAGCGATCGACCATTGCAGACCAACATCATCAACAGACAAATCTAAACTTTACAAAAAACAATATTGTTTTGAATGTCTTAACCAAAAATAAAGTGAAAGGTATTTATTGCAATCTCACAAGCAGTATTTTTGTTGGCGTTTTTTGGCTGATGGAAAACTACCGGGTTGATTTATAGATAACGCCATGTCATTGAGACAATTTTACAGTGTAGTTGCATAGGACAGATGTAAATAATTTCTCAATATGCAGTTTCATTAGCAAAATACTGAAGGAGCAAGCTTTAAGCCAGTTTTAGCACAACATTTTGTCATTTTTGTACACATGGTATGTCCTCATACTTTTCCTCAGCGTTGAAAAGAATGTTTACGGGAAAATATGAAACACCATTTTATTACTTACACAATTTTCAAGAGCACAATTTCAAACGTTTGCCTTAATACCATTCTTAAGTGCAAATTAATCATTATTAACCAATTATTAAAACTGTAATTATTAATGTATATTTTGGCACCTAAAAAAATTGTTTGGTGACTATTAGGCTAAAGAGTTGGTACCCAAATGGCCACTAATGGAAAAAGTTAACTTGGAGGGTTGTGGCTTGTAGAGAGGGGGGAGGGGGGGAAGGAGGGCAGGGCTTAATTGAGAGGAGGATCTTAATAGAGGACTACAGTATATGTTATTGGGCTATGAAAGTTTTTTTTTATTATCTTCATCCTCAACCTTGACCCTGAGAATATTTAAAGTAACAGTTGAACCTACGGTGGCCTGCGGCCTGTAAAGGACATTACAATATTTTTTTTTGTGTAAGTTACCGCACGATAATTTCAACTTACCGCATGATAAGTTCAAATTATCGTGAAATAATTAGTCAGTTTATCGCACGATAAGTTTGAATAGCGCTTTCTACTATTACTAAAAATAGGTTTTGTCACCTTAGACCCCCCGCGTGACTCAGACAAACTTTGCATTCTACTCCAAGGCTTTGTATGGGAAACATACGTTTCCAACATGAAAGTTGTACATAGAATTCGCAGTGAGTGTTTTCAAAATGTTTTTTGAGCATAATTCCAATATAAAAAAGGCGCTACTGCTATTGGGAGCAAAACCTGTTTCAGTAACTCAAATAAATGGTTAAAATCAGAAAATAAAGCGACTCGATCAGAGAAGGCTACTGAAATTGGACCCCTAGCTCTGTGTCTTAGGCAGAAAGCACCACCTGAACACCACTATGCACTGAAACATGACATAACACTATTGGCTGTGTAATACACCAAAACCGAAATTGCTAAAGAGAAAATTGAGTTTGGATGTACTTCTCGCAAGCCTGTGACAGAATCTAAGGTGAAAAGAACACCAATGTTAGCACAAACCGGAAATTGTATAAGTTTGTTTTGCTGTTGTGCGGCCAGGTAGACCATATGAATCCGGGACGAATACTTTAGTACTTTATATCCTGTAATACTAAATAGCGTAACATAAGCACTCGCAAAAAAACTGAGCAACCTTTGCCTATAAATGCACTGTTTCACACACAGCTATGAAGCCCTACTCTCCAGACATTTTAACATAATTTTACCCACAGCATTATGACGCCGCATAAGAAATAAAACCACTCATCTGTACAGTTTTTCCACGTTTAACAGTGTCTTGGCATGCGTTGATTATTTTCAGGATATTTATTATCGAAACCAAGCTGGATTTTGTTTCCTTTAATGATAAACATCTTCAAAGACGACGAAAATTTGTTGCCGAATGTGACTTTCTCATACTAATTAAACTCTTACACTGGTCAGGTTTAATGTCTGAGTCACAGCAGGGACCAGAAATTTGTGACGTCATTAGTAGAAAGCGCTATTATCATGCGATAATTAGTCAGTTTACTGCGCGGTAAATTGCAACATATCACATGATAAAGAGA